TCCCTCTCTCTGCTTTTCCTTTCTCTGACTGTCTCTGACTTTCTCTTTTTGTTTCTCTTTTCTTTTTTCTTTTTTTTGCATTTCTGTTTCTCTCTTTTCTCAGCCTCTTCATTTCTCCCCATTTATTCTGCTCTTCTCTTTATCTGGTTTTCCTTTTTTCATCCTCTGTCCCCTTGTTCTGCTTATGTCGTTGTCCTTTCCACCTCTGACCTACATGTACGGCGCTTCATCCCATAACGTGACTATAGACAATGTAAGTGACAAAATATATCACATGACAGCATCTATAGTCCCACTGATGCAAATGTTTTATGTTATTTTATCGGACTTATTGGGCGCCTACTCTGACCTAATATGTAAAAGTATTTGTAGGATATTGGATGAGAATAAACTTTATTGATCCCACCTGAAAGTTTTTTTTTGCACCAGTTAAGCACAAGGTGGAACAACTAAAGAAGGCCTGAGAAAGAGGGGTGGGGAAGAGGAGAGGCGATGACAGGAAAAAGGAAAAGGAAAGGAGAGGACACAATGAGTTTAGAAGAGGAGAGGAGGTGAGGAGAAAAAAAAAGGATGTGTGAAAAGTAAAGGGTCACTTCTTTTCCTCACAGTTCCTTATGCAATCCCTGAGGAATGTTCACATCTTCTCTCTCTCTGCCCCTCTCATTGTCTGGATTTCTGTAGAAGCTCTTAGAGTGTGTGCACGTGTGTGTATTGTAGCATTAAGCTTTGTGTGTGTGTGTGTGTGACAAAGAGAGAATTTCTAAGCTTGACCCTGCACCATAATATTTTGGAAATAACACATTGTTGCCACGTTCTACTGTCTCTCTGTGTTTTTTCACTGCATCTATGTTATAAATAAAATATTATTTAGTAGCCTCAATAGTGTGTGGGCTTTCTGCAAAGCACACTGTGCATCAAGGAGGAAATGTTCTATTTATATACAGTACGTATAATCTGTAGATATGTATTATATAAAGCGTAATGAGCTGTATTATCCACAGATAACAACATTTATTCTCTATACGAACTATTGTTTTTCCGGTCATGATTGATATCCGCCCGCAGATATTTCGAAATGCATCTTTTCGGGAATTATTTGCTCTGAGCCGATGAGTCAGGTTTAACAGACGTGTCCACAGGGGTCCTATAGGAGTTTGTTTTTGTTTCATAATCGCAGGTGTTGAATCTTGATCCATGTAAAATGTTAGAAAGGTGAAAAGCTGGAGCTTCTGTCCCAAGTTTTCTTTTTCCACTGTCAAGCTACTGAACTCTTGTTTAGGGAGCAAGCACAAATGGGCATTTGCATTTTCACGTTCAAAGATGTGAGAAAAATCCAGGTGCGCTGCATCTCATGTGGATTACTGCAACAAGACCAGGCCACCCTCTCTCCGTGTCCTCCCGTTCATCGTCAAACATTCATGCTCACATATGTTGTTTACAATGAATAGACATACGGCGCTTATGCATGAAATGAGGAAATTTCCCCAGAGTGACGACATTTAGTGATCATTACTCTCAAAATAGACCAATTTGTGGTCAATCCGTTCAGGTGGAATCTTATTTCATTATTATCATTATCATATTATATCTCTGGTTTGCTGAATAGAGTATATTTACACTGAGTCAATGGGACATGATTATGGTGAGGTAAATATTTGGGTGTTAGGGATGGAAATGTGTTTGCGCGTATGCCTGTTTTCCTTTGTTTGAGCATGTGTGTGCGTGCGTGTGTGTGTGTGTGTGTGTGTGTGTGTGTGTGTGTGTGTGTGTGGGCAAATCACACCCTTGCATTTGAACAACTGCAGACACACTTTTTTTATGAACACCACAGACGTTGATTTTGTTTTCTTTACAACTCTAAACAGTTTAGTTTACAATATATCAGCCCTACAGATACATAGGAAACTTACACACACACACACACACAGACACACACACACACAGCAACAAGTGAATATACATCACTTCACCACCACTGCGACAACACACAAGCTTGGTCTTGCAGTGTGAATGATCTGACAGTGTTTCTTGGCAGCAATAGCAACAGCCTCTCCAAAATACATCTCGTCCTTCCATCTATCTCCCCCAGCGCCCCTCCACCCCCTATCCCTCATCGCTGCATCCCCCACCTCCCCCCTCTACTACGTGATATTAAGTGCTACTCTCACTGCTCCCTGTTTAGCCACTTGGCAACGCAGCAACACATCCATCTCTTTGGAAATGTTTATCTGTGAGCTGTTTAGTCTACACAATCCTCCACACACACACACACACACACACACATATATACATAGTTCACACACACACACACGTGCACACAGGCCTGTGCACGCACACACAAGCACTAGTTGCAGTTCAGCCTTGTAAACACAAATAGCAACACAACAGGCTGACATGAGTCTGAACATGCGAGTGCAAAGAAAAACAAACATGGAGACACACACACATGCAAAAATGTAAAAAGACACATGAACAGATTTACATGAGCACACAGAATGACGCAGATGCACGTGTGTATGGTTGAACTCGCACAAGCTTTCACAACATAGACATGAGTATGCAAACACACAACACACACATGTACACATTAGGGTCGGGAAGGAATGCTGATAGAAGCTATGGTTGGATACGCTGGTTGGAGTATGTGTAAACAGCAGAAGATTTAGCCTCAAAGGCTGCACACATGTCTAATGTTAACACACACACACGCACACACACACGCACACACACTTTATATTAAAGTGTATCCACACATGTACTCACAGCACTCAGCAGGACCACGTAACACATGCACACTCGGATGACGTTGTTATTGCATTCCACTAATGAAATTAAGCCTATAAATGTGGCGCTCGGTTAGGCAGATAAACCCTGAACTTCCTTCCGAACAGAGAGAGAGAGAGTGTGGGGGGGGGGCGGGGGGGGGGGGGGGGGGGGCGAGAGACAGAGAATCAGAGCAGAGAGACAGAGGCTGTGCAGATCAAGGAAACGTTGAAAACAGAGCGGTCAACTTTACAAAGAGGGTGAGCGATGAGAGAGAGATTACAGGAAGAAAGAGGAAGTGCAGAAGCCGGGGATGTGCGAGAGGGGTTATTTGTCAGATCGGCTGCAGATTTGCACATCCTGAGAAACTAAAAAGGAAAACTCCAGTCGGAGGGTCGGTTATACGGCTGATGGTTGGCAAAAATTATATGGTAGTGTGAGGGGGTTTTTGATTAAATCACAGGCTGTTGAGAGTATCCGGAGATATCAAGAAAATTTAAAGGATCATTCTGTTTTATTTTTGTAGTCTTGGCCAACATGTCTATCGGTGATATATTATTTTAAGAGAAACCAAAAATTATTACCCAGAATGTTCATAACAAACATCCTGGTTCACAGCATTTGCAGTAAAATCACTGTGTTTTCAGATCCCAAAGAGGGGAGTTGAAAAGTTTTTCCCACAGAATGATAGTGGTCAACAAACAACGACACATGAGTTTATAGTGGGAAAAAAAAGGGGGGAAGTATCATATTACCTTAAAAATTGATGGTAATGAAAGCTTCTGTCTTCAGGAACCCTTGTTCTACAATGACTAACATTTATCCGCTGAGCCATAACTTCCTGATAGAATGTTCTCAGCATACACTTCTGACTACAGTATATACACTGTGTGTGTGTGTGTGTGTGTGTGTGTGTGTGTGTGTGTGTTTGTGTTTGTGTGTTGTAACAGATGTAGACCCATGATGCACTTGGATCCGTGTTCGACTCTAATAAATTGTTAAAACTGTACCTCTGCCTGTACCTGGCCTGAAGTCAGTTTTGTGTATGATGCAACTCAAGGCTCAGCCTTTAGAATCTCTAAGAAGCGTGTTAAATACTGTAGCTGCTTATAATATTCATCTCCCTAAATGTTATATCAGTATTGGTGAAATTAGAGTTTGCACCATTATACAGTATGTTGTCCACCTGAGGCAACGAATTAACTACTTGTTAAAATAGTTCAATGAAGGAGCTCCAGTTTTAGATTCAGTCTGATTCAGCTTTGTGTGTGGACAGTAGGTGTGTGTGTGTGTGTGTGTGTGTGTGTGTGTGTGTGTGTGTGTGTCCTCTTGTTGCACTGCTAGACTGCAGGAGGCAACAGTCATGTCACTAAATCATTTAACTTGACTTCAGGAGTAGAAAAGGCAGCACCGTCCTTCTCCTCCTTATTTTTCCTTAGAACTCTCAGGCACAGGCCAAAAGCAAACAAACACACACACACACACACACGCTGACCATAAATTACAGGGAAGCAGGGAATCATTCTCTCATGCTCTCCCCAGTGACTCAAACATTTAGTTAATTCTCTGTTGCGCTTTGCAAATTAAAATGTGCACAAAAGGCTTTCAAATGTTGGTATGCATTATATTGTGTTACAGAATTATGTGGCATTGATGCCAAAGCTTTCTGGTATAATCATCAATTATACCGCTGGTATTTTGCATGCGTGTCTGAGTGTCGATATGTGTGGAGCTTGGAGGTTGCAGGGCCATCAAGGTTCAATCAATTCAACAGTAAAATGTAAAAAACACCTCAAGAGTAAAGCAACAGACTTGACCTATGCACAGAATAATGATGAAAGGTGCGTTGTAAATGAATGAGCCCTGGATAAAAAAAAATTTAAAAAAACGCTATACTGTACGGCATGGCTGAATCAACACACCATAAAACATTAAAGGCTCAAGCTAGGATTGCTATACTGAGCACATAATTTATGGGTAGCGCTATGGGTAGAAGGGTAGGACATCCAGACCCAAAGTTGACTTAGGAACTCATAACTGCCTTTTTTTAGCAGAGAATTCTCATAATTCATGGTGTTGAAACATCTCTTATCCCTAGGACCACAGTACGCATTCAGAAAACCTGTGTATGCTTTTAAATATGCATCAGTTTCATTCCTAAATAAGATTATTTTACTTCAAAAATACATTTCCCTGATCAACACTGACCACCTGCTCTCGTCCCACTGGCTGTTTAGGTGGAGCTTTCCGACAGCACCTCCCACACCATCACTGATGCCTATGCTGGGAAGGAATACATCATCCAGGTAACATGTTCATCTCACTAAGTAAGACAAGTGAAAACAGTACTTACATACCGTAAATGTGGGTTCATGAATAAGATGTAACTACCACCTGTTATTGATTTTAAAAGAGGGAATAGAGCCTTATGTTCCCATAATAACTACTATATGTCTAGCAATTTACAGAATTGTAGTCAATGGTGACAAATCAGCTTTCTTCATGCACTTTGCATATGATGTTTCCACTTATTAATGAGTGCTTCTTATTTACCAAATACTTCTTTACTGCCCTCGTGTTCCACAGGTGGCTGCCAAGGACACAGAGATCGGGACATGGAGTGACTGGAGTGTTGCTGTTCATGCCACACCCTGGATTGAAGATCCTCTGCCCATCACTTCCACAACTGAAGGGGACTTTCCTACCGGTAGGTTATAGCCTCAGTTAAAACCTGGACACTTTATTTCTACCTTACGTTTGCCTTCAGAGCTGGTGACTTAAGTCGGATACCTTGGTTCAAGATGTAGGCATTTACTGAATCTGAAGGTAAGTTTCCCGGTTTGAGTGATGTGTGATATCCTCGATTTTCTTTTCCGATACCGAGTAAAACACAGACTCTTTATCGCCGATCCCAATATGATACTACTGTACAAAATACACCAAGAGGAGATGAGTCAACAGGTTACATAGATTTGCTGTTTTATATTGAATATCATGCTATTCAGATTGAAATAATAAATGACAGTGAAATACATAGTGAAATATATAAATTCCATATTAAATGCATAAATGAATCATTATATTTTGAAATAATCTGTCAGCTGCCAAGCAAAACAAATGAGAATGGGTCAGTGAACATCATTGGCTGCTGCTCATAAGCCAACAAAGTAATGTGAGGGGTTTTTTTTGCCTGTATAGACTATATCAAAATCTGGGCTCTGATAATAATAATACAACTGAGAAATATTTTATTGAATTGATGTAAAGTGATTCCAGGAAGACAAATTTCCCTCTAAGCTGAGGTCAAAAATTGCAGACCTGATCTTTCTATAGCTACTTATTGTAGCATTTCTTTCTTTATTTAATTATTTACTTCTTTACTTACTTACATTACCATATTTATTTAATGAGCTGGTATATTTATTGCCATCAATTTGAAGGATTTATTCTGTGGCTTTAAGAATGTGGGGAACTCCAGTTGTTTGAACATCGACACACAGACTGAGGCCAGGACACATGTGAATCTCTTTCCCACCGTCAGTGACAGTGATAAATGTCGCCAATAGCTACATACACTCTTTCTCTCTCTGTACCTGGATGATGTCTGCCACTGCCAAGTGAAGTCTCTCGCCCTAGCAGCACCTCTCCTCTTCTTCAGACCGCCACTGCGCAACCTCATCATACTCTGTATTGTGATTAAATCTCAGATGCTCAACGAGGTTTGTGGTGTTGCCACAGCACCTCGCCGTCCTCCCACACACATCACATGCAGCGTCGTGGCTGTTCTGACAACTGACAACGTCCCACACAAGACTTCATATGTAGTCAGCCGTCGTCAATGTCAACACTTGTTTAGTGGCTTACGGATTTAGAGAGCCGTAGTTCACATGCAACGATGACAGGCAGAAGGAGAAGTATAAACTGGGCATTATTTAGACTAGACCCTGGTGATAGCGAAGTTACTCTCTACTGTGTTTCTGTTGATGATAAAATACACATTTGCCCCAAATTACTGAGTTTAATATGCGATCGATCCTCGAGCAGACATGTTTTGAAATATCAATATTTCAGGATCGATCCACACTCACACAATAACCAGTTTACTTTAAAACAGACACTTTCCTTCACTCAAAAGAAATCAGTCATTGGAAAAACTAGACTCATACAGCCGATGTCAATATATGCATGAAAATGCTATGATCTGCGGAAATACAAAAAAAGACCAAACACAAGATACAATGAGATTTAATGAAACGAGACAAAAAATTCATGCTAGTGGCTTGGTGACACTGTGTTTAGGCACAGCGGTTCCTTAAGCTAAATGCTAACATGCTCACAGTTCTACTGTTCACCTACTAATGCTTTGCATTAATATTTATCATGTTCACCATAGAGCTGAGGCTGATGGAAACATGAGTAGTTTTGCAGGTACTTGAGAATAAACCAAACAATTTTACTAATTGAGATTCATTACATAATGTTGGCAGTGGAGGAAAAGTCAGAGGGTCCCCAAAGTTCTTGCTATGTATCCTCTGGGGACCATAAATGTCTTCACAAGAATTCATGGCAATTCCTCAAGCAGTTGTTGAGATATTGGACCAAAGTGGTGGACTCACTGACCAACACTGCCAAGAGTCACACTGCTAAAGAGGCTAAAGGGATGAAATAAGATAAATGCTAAATGCAAATAAGTATCCTGCATTAGCTTATAATTTATTGAGATGGTTTGTCATAGGTAGTTAATGATACTCTCAGATGTAGTAACCAAGGACTGTATGTACTGTAGGGAGAAATATTACGAGTTTTTCTATAATGCTGTTTGGTTTTTATCAGTCTCGTAGTCCATGAGCTGTAGAAATCATTGTGAAGATAATACAGTATTCCTATGATGTTTTTTTGTTTTTTTTTTTAACATTGTTCTTTGTGCCCACGGCTGTCACACAGTAAATTTCCTGGACCAGTTAGGTATGAAATTAAGTTTCGTTAATAACTTTCTTTATCATTAAATTGAGTACACCATAAGCGTTTGATAGCCTTGAACTTTTATCGCAGCTTAAGCTATAAGATCCAGCAGCCTCCAGACAAATCGACACACATCAGCCTGAGAGCCTGCACACTGCCTCAGGGAAAAACTGTTCCATCTTTTTAAAAAAATGCTCACGTCTCTCCTGCAACTTTAAATTGGCTCACTTACAGTTTCACAACACAACACTTTCTAGGTTTTTTTATGCATGAGAAATTATCATTTAACATGATACTTATTGTAGATTATTATACATTATGTGTGCCCTGACACACGCACACACACACAGACAAAAACTGTCTCTGGGAATTATCTAGTTGGCACCCTTCGGCATGTGGCAGAGATCAAGGATGGCTCGCTTGTCAAATCGAAATCTCTCAACGCACTGGTGATCCCTGAACAACAAGACGTACATTCCAAGTCTCAACACTCCTTTGTACACATATCTCTGACCACGCTGGAATAGCAAAGCAAAGAATTTTAAATAAAAAAATGGCAGGATGCATTTTGAATAAATAAACACAGAAAACCATTTTTTTATACTGTATGTGGCCAATTTACTCCCTCTAACTTGCATTCCCGCTGTGGTCTTGCAAATGTACGGAGCATTTATCTGCACCATCATCAGGCTGGTGAATACTACATCATAATGTTCAAAACAGAATTGCAAGAAAATTTATTGCAAAACTTTACTTCAAAACACTTAATATAAATGTGTTTGTTGTGTGTGTGTATGTGTGTGTGTGTGTGTGTGTGCGTGGAAAGTGCACTGTTTAATCTGTACAAAAACCAAAGTGGTTTTATGGGGCATCGTGTGCAGGACTATTTCTTGAGCAGCAGTGAAGACCTCATAAGACCTCCTCTGGTTCTTACACTCATTTTATTTGGATTAAAGTAATTTAGTGTAGTAAGTAGTAAGTTAGTGAGCTATAGAGGTGCAGGTAGGTGGATTTTGTCACCTTCACACAGTTTCCAGTCTAAACTAAACAAACAGGTTGCTTCATACCGGTATTGATGTTGTGGTATCGATCCTGTGTAACTCTACGCAAGAAAGCAAATAAGTGTATTTCTGAAAATGTTGAACTATTCCTTTAATATTCCATGAGAGACGCTATCAGTCGGTCACTTTCATTTGACACCGTGCACTCACACCAATACTAGGCCTATCTTGATGAACTTAATTATTTTGCCCAGGGTTTTGCCTCTAAGGCCACATCCACCCGGCCATGCCGGTGGCTTCTGGTTGGTGGAGGCTGTTGGGCTGTGCTCAGCCTGAGAGGAAGGTTTACAGACACTGAAAGTCATGAAGTTAACCCGATTCCTCATCTACTGTGCAACATGAAATTAACATCAGCAGGGCAAGGAAGTGAGGGACCTGTCCTCACTGACTGTGACTTACTGTCAGTATGAACCCAGTCTGAAACGTGTGGTCCGTCTACCTGTCTTTCTCTCCGCCTCTCTGCCTGTCCATTGAAAATTCTCCACTCTCAAGTTTTTACAGTACAACAGTGACTCCTGTTGGCCGTGAGCGGCACTACACACTTGTCATCACACTGACTGAGCTCTCTCGCATGCCTGGAAACACACAAGCACATGCTAAACGGTACACACAGAACATGCAGCCTGCTCTAACTCTCCCTCGCACACAAGCACGTATAAAACAGCACCACACACTCACACACGCACAGTACTTCCCTCTGATAACACAGTGTACACACACACACACACACACATCAACACTCACTCAGTACACATTGTATTATTCTTGTTCTCAGAGAGAGAACAGGAGGTTATTGGGATTCTCCTCATGCCTCTTCCCGATCCAGCTGCCGCCTCACTGCTTCCCTTCCCTCTCTCCTTTTACTGTTGTCTCTTTCACTCTCCTTTTTTGCCTCTAGCTCTCTCACTCTCTCTTCCTTTCTGTCATATTCTTTTCCCTCTCCTCTCACTTCTCTTTCTATTGATCACTCACTCTTTCTGCTGCTCTTACTACCTCACACCTCGTGCTCTTCTTCTCTGGCCTTCTGCCATTTTCTTTACAGATGTTACTTCCTGAATGACTGATTGCATCTGTGTGCAGCTATAAGTGCTTTGATGACATGAATAAAATGACATCAGGGTTGGTTGTTGTTTCCACTGATGGATTTTCTCCCCTCTGGTCTTTCAGTGAAGGCAGTTCAGAACTTAGAAACGTACTTTTTCAAGTGCTTGTTTGTATGCACATTTTCAACTTGTGTGTTAAAAAGACTGAGAGAAGTAGTGTGCAAAATGTGGCGTGCAGAAGAAGAGGAGAAGCAAAAGAGCTGACAGAAAAGATTTTTCAAGTTGCTTTCAGGGTCTGCTGTAAACACGGCATTCAAGTCATGCCACTACGGCAACAGTTGTATGCCTCCTTTTCACCAAGAAAATAAATAAGAATAAATAGAGCAGAGGTGTGAAGGGTTTATGTAACCATAACATCATTTGTTCAAGTCCAGACAGGGTCCTTGTTGCATGTTGCCACCCCTCCCACCACCACCCACCCACCCCCACCTCTTTATTATGATGGCGGATAATGAAAACATGCCAGGGACAAATTTGTTCATAGAAAAGTAAGAAAAAACACAAATGCCATGTTAGCTTGAAAGCAGCAATAAACTACCATGATGCATAAGAGTTACTGGTGAATGTTTTTGCATAAAGGCAATTAATGGAAACATTTATTTTTATTAACATACATTAACTGTTTACTGGAAACAGTGGGAACAAACTTTGCACTCGCTATTCTGTAACTACTTGTTCATGAAGCAGAATCACATCAGCAGGGAAAAAAGGAAAACATCTGATTGCCTGTCGAAGACCTGCCAGTGACGACTTTTATTTTTCAGCTGACCGGCTTGTTAACAGCTACACACTGACCAATATTTCCTGGCTGCTCAGCCAAAAAGGAAATGAACGGACTTCCTGTGCCTTATTGATTGTGTAAAGTGTAAGCACACAGCTACACTTTCTCCATTTCCTCTCCGCCTTTCTGTCATTTTGCCACATGCCACATTTCCTCCACCCACTGTTTTTTTTTTTTGTTTGCTTCTGTTGAACCAGAATAGTACCTAGTTGTGCTAAAGCGTCTGTTCTGTTTCCTGGCATCAACGCCTTCATATCATATCACCAGGGTAGTGGACTGACGGACAGGCGACATTCAGAAATCCCATCCTCAGTGACCAGACGATTGCCAAGCGACCCCATTCTAGGAAGTAAAAAGCAGATCATCGGAAGTTTAAAAAAAAGTTGCAACCCATCTTAGTGCTGCAACCATCTAAATATGTTTCTGCCTCACCCACTGTGAGACAGAAACTTGACACTGTCTAGCACTAAACCAGCAACACTAGATATCATTTCTTATATCCTTCATGTCAAGAACTATTTATAAACGCTGTGTAGTTTCTGTTTCCAAGTATGTCATAGAGCAAGATTATATGCATGCAAGTGCTTAATAAGCAGGCACCACCACAGATGAATGTCGAAGCCAATGCTGAGGTCCCTTAAGGTTCCTGTTGCTCTGTATGCTGCCTCCAGAAAAGCCTCTTGGTTTTGCTATGAATTTAAACCCCCACTTCTTCATCATTCAGCTGACATATAGTTGTATAGTCGGAGGTGTTTTTGTTTTATGCTTCCAGGGTTTTAGAAGTGAAAGTCCCATTCATTTTCTTCATAGATAACGTAAGCTGTCTGACAGTGTGATTCACCCCAGCGGAATCATCAGTGCAAATATCTAGAAAACTGAGTTAGAAATGATCCGGTTATAAAATGTCAAACCTGTGTACATATTGGAAGTTAACTTTTACTCCTAAGGTGCTTTCTGATACAAGATACACTGGTCTTAATATTTAGTTGTGCTAACAGCGAGTTAAAGGTGCTATACGTGGGTTTTCGCTATTGCTAGGTGGGTACCTTAGCATTAACTTCTGTTTACTTATGTTACTAGAAAAGCATGAAACTTCATTCCTTTACTCGCCAAGAGTTCTCTCCAGTGGTGGAAAGGAACACTAATGTTAACTCTCCTTTTGGTTCTACTTCTATCACTTCTCGTCTTCCTGTCTCATAATACTACTTTGCAATCGTGAGTCACTGTATCCTCCAGTCTGCCCTCAGTTCAGGATGAGAGGATGAAGAAGTAGCACTGAAGCTTTTGGCAAGCGATAGTCATCACCACCATCACCACCACCACCCGCTCCCGGGAAAAGCCAAACTTATAACACCTTTAAAATCAGCTCATTTTCAGATTCTAGGTTGATTTTGATTGAATTCAGCATCTGTGGTGTGTTGTTTTGTTCTTGCAAAGACAAAGCATCTTGTACTTGCTACCAGTCTTATTGAGGCCTCTGACTGGCTCCATCTTCATAGAAACAGCAACTCAGGAAGGAAAGCTAAATCTAACCTGAATAAGCTTCAACACTGATCATCATGAACCACTTGCTGATCATATATGTTGTATTCATGATTTCCTTACAGTCATCTCTTACATTGGAGTATCCTAAGACGTCAACATATCAGGGAGGTTAGGGGTCAGAGTCCAAGCCATTCAGCATATATAATCTTATTGGCTTCTCTCACTCTTCCCTCACTTCTCTATCAACCTAATTTTGATCCCTTCCTCTGCCTTCACCTAATTCTTCTTCCCCACTCGCTGTTTATCCCTCCTCTCTCCTCCTCACATCATTGCCTTGTCTCCCTCTCCTTACCTGTCCTCAACTAGCTTGTTACATCAATGTACATCCCATAACTGTCTCTCCTCGTCACCATCACATTATTTCTGCTTAATTTTTTTTATTTTTTTATTTCCCTTCACCACTCCAAAGCATAGTGTTTTGCTGCGGGGCACGAAGTATTGCACCGAGCTGCTGAACATGTTAAATGTGTCCTAGTTCTCTCTCTCTCTCTCTCTTTCTCACTATTTCACACCTGGCTGCCTCCTTCTAATATCTCCCAACGCCATACTACACAACCGTCATTAATTGGAAGGAGAGGGAAATCATATTCTCTCTCTAGTAAAAAAAAAAAATAAAAAATGCTTTGGGTGCATGCTGCCTGCAGCTGTAGCAATACCCCCGTTTTATAAACCATTAAACTGTGATATTTTTATTTGTCATGCAACGTAAAACCAAACCGAGGCACTAAAAGTGGCTTAAACACACACTTTCTTTTAAGCATATTTATTGTTTGCCACAAGCTTTTTATTTTGTACATAATTGTACTGACAGAGTGTCACAGTAACTTTTCCTTCTTTTTGTTTACTCTATTTCTTCGATTTATTAATTGTCCTGGGATTTAAATCAGGTCAAAATATGAGACATGTATATTTATGCTTTCAAGTCTTAGTCATGTGAGTCCAGTCTCAACAAACAAACCAAAAACAAAAAAAAAATTTGTGACTTAAATGGGAATCCAGTCAGTTGACAGCTCTCCTCATGTGCTGTAAAATCTAAATATCCAGTCTATTATGGATGTGGGGTGTGTAAAGGTGTATTGGACCGTGTCTCCAACCAATATATTAACTTCTGCTATGCGCATTCCCCATTTTTTTTTCTTTTTTATATCCATCCACCTCCTGCTCTACTCACCGTCTCCTTTACCGCAGGGTTTAATTTTTTTTAACGTTATCCTCTGTTTCCCTTTCTCTTCTTTCCGCCTTCATACATTATCTATCTATTTTGCTCTGTCTGTCCTTCTCAATCCCCGATTCCCTGCGGCTTCAGTATGAGTGAGATTTTTTATTATTTTTTTGTCCAGTTCATTTCATAACTGCCTTGACAAGTCCTATATTGATTGTGCTTGCAGATTAGAATTGATTTCACTCTGCACTGTATTTTCCTTTCTGTTTGGTTCTTCCCGGTATGATGAACTTTTCAGTGTCCATTCATCAAAACGACATTTTGGGCATTTAGCACCAGGAATTTAGAAAAAAAAAAGAGCTGAAGGACAAAGCCGAACAAGAATTTAGAAGAGTTCATTAAAAAATATGCTCAGTAAGGACTATTGTGTTTTCTCATTGGTTTTCCAGAGACCAAGACCTCCCCCATACCGTCTTCCAACGCACCACAAAAGGCTGAGCCTCCAGTCGGCAGAGCTGCCAAGCTCCTCACGTTTTTCTCCCCTTTGCTGTTAGGAATGCTGCTGCTGTTCATGTGGTAAGAGAACACACACACACACACACACACACACCTTATGCAATGAGTTCACAACCCCAACCTCATCTTTGAATTGATCTTGAACTCAGCCATTCAGTCATATATCGGCAAGTCGATGCATGTCTATTGATGTCAAGAGCATGTTTAATAGAACAAGAGAAACAACGATTGGGTGAGTTTGTTTTATGACCCAGCGTGGAGGGGATTTGGGGGGGTTCTTCATATTTTTCTGCACAAGTCCCTGAAGGAAATGAAGTAAAATCCAATCCAAAGCTGTCCCATTTCATTAATTTTACAGCTTTTACACCATAAATCATGTTGTAATAGTAAGTGTCCTGTCGAAGAGGTAGGTGTTGAACAGTGAATGCTGAAGAGCTGAACGCCATGGACTGCAGCTAAGTTGACTATGAAGGTGTGCAAACAGGAAATGATTTTTGCAGAAACACTGACAAACACATCTTTAACCAAAGGACATAAAACATGGCTGCATCTCCAAAAGAACAGCCTGCTGCTCATTTTAACCACGGGAGTCAGGTTTAATTGGCTAAATATGGTAAAGTCAAGTTTCATGCCAGTGTTCCTATAATACGACCCACGAAATCTGGAAATCTGGTAGGTGCAGAAAGCCAAGTGTACAAGATTACAAATTGCGACCTCTTAGAGAAAAGGCAGTATCTCTTTAAGGCTCCTTGTCATGTTTCAGTTGTTAATAAATCGTTAGTTGCTCCACTAAAGAGACATTTTCCCTCCAAATTCCTCAGATGGTTTCATTTAAATAACTGAAGTTATTTCACAACAAATGCCAAAAAAGTATGATTAAAACTTAATGAGTAATTTTCTTCTCTCCTATCCCATCGTCATATTTTGGTATTTTTGCCTAAGTGAAGGATCTCAGCATTCGTTCTACCACTGACAACAAGATGCTTAATTTGTGCGTCTCTCTCTTTCTCTAGATTTAAATGTCTTATTCCTGAAGGGGGACAAGAAGGAGGAAGAAGAGGAGGAGGAGGAGGAGGAGGCTGGTCTTTTTTCTATTTTGCACATGTTTCAAGGATACAGTGCATTGATCATTTCTGTCCATCACACAGTTACTCACCAAGGTTACTTAGACATGAAATCAGACGATGATAATGCGATTCAGCATTTTTTGATTAAATGGTGACAAAGAAAATCTTCAGAGGAACTCCTCATCATCATCAACATCATCATCATCACCACCACCACCACCACCAACAACAACAACGACAACAGCAGCAGCAGCAACAGGAGCAGCAACAACCACAACAACAGCAGTGATATCAGCACTTACAGTCTTATATTACCCCCTGGTGGCTTTGATGGGCCACAGCAGACTGATTTGTTTTGGAGGACAAAGCCACTCCTAAGATGAGAGGAAAAAAAAAAAATCTCTTCATTACCTTTTTTTGGTCTTTTTTTATTTTTTATTTTTATTGATCAATTGATAGTCTTAATTTTAACTTTTCTTCTAAAATCACAGCACTGCACAGACAAACACATAGAGCATGTGTGTTTGTGTGTATGGTTACCATAGCAGTCCCCATACAGCTAAATCATCATGCCAAAGACTCAACATCAGCCCCAACAAAATGGTTCCCAAAACAATTCATTGAGCTTCCCGAAGCCTGTGCCTGCCTTCGTCATTGGGTTGAAAACCCCAGAAAGTTGTGCGTGTATGTGTATGTGTGTGTGTGAGAGAGAGAGAGAGAGAGAGAGAGAGAGAGAGGGGGAGGGAGGCCCATACAGCTAAATCATCATGCCAAAGACTCAACATCAGCCCCAACAAAATGGTTCCCAAAACAATTCATTGAGCTTCCCGAAGCCTGTGCCTGCCTTCGTCATTGGGTTGAAAACACCAGAAAGTTGTGTGTGTGTGTGTGTGTGTGTGTGTGAGAGAGAGAGAGAGAGAGAGAGAGAGAGAGAGAGAGAGAGGAGAGAGAGAGAGAGAGAGTGAGATTGAGTGTGTGTGTGCACAACACCTTATGAATACCGACTTAAAACGGTATAGAAATCAAACTTGGGACGAATCGGAGGAACCCTGCAGCTCCTGTTTGTGCAAACCTACCATTTAACAAAGAAGTCACACAAATACTCAATCAGACTCTGAATCTGTTCGCCTCCAACGACTGAATCAGACTGACGGAGCGAGTCGTTTTTTCGATACGAGGACTAACACTTTGAAGAATTCAGTAACGGTAGTCTGGCTTATTTAGACAATTAGCTTTACATTCTGCTTTCAGCGACTGGCGACGAGGACCTGGATTGTAAAAACAAAAAACAAAAAAAAACAACAAAAAAAAAAAAAGAAATGTGGATTTGAGACTGAACAATTCTTTGCCCAACCATGTTTGGTTTTTTGATTTGACTTTGTAATGACGGCGACAAAGTTGGTTATTGAAACATACAAATGAGCTATGTTGGTTCTCCATTCTGCTCTGTGCTGTAAAATACAATAACACAAAACTGTTTGCTTTCCAAATTCCGACGCCTTTACAAACATAAAAAAAAAAAAATGTGTTTTTGCAGTTTACATTTCAGTAGCCAATATCACCAGTTAATATTATGTTATTCAAAGGAATATTGATGTGTTTTATTGTATTTTTTGATTTTATGGACAAATAATAAAAACACACATATAGGACTTTAGTTTTTTTATGTTTTTTTTTCAGACATTCATAATGGCTTAATTCTCCTTGATCCTATTTTGTAAACTATGATATGTAACTTTAACATTGAACAAAAAGTTTATTATTTAATAATAATAATAATGTATGTATTAGCAGTAGAATGTCGTAACCTGTACCTGGGGTCTTTTTTATAGATGTATATACAATGACAGGTTTCAACCATTAAATGTGACCATTTCACAATGAATGATGACACGCTGGCCTCATTCTCATTTTGACTTTCAACCAATCGAGAACAGAAAATATCATCGCCACCAGTTTTCTCCCAATTGCTACAAGATGAAGGTGAGGTGTCAGTGCAGGAGCACAAAGACATCAATTTTTAAAACTCGCATGAAAACACACCTCCAATAACTTTCCAGTGTTATAACAGTGATGACGCATTTCTCACCTCCTATGGTCAGCCATAAACAAACACTGCTTCATTTCAACATTTCCAAATCAATACTGGTGACTGAGCAGAAAACGTTTTCTCTCAATTTGGCTGGGATGGTATATTTACAGTTTAAGATGCACTAGATTAGCAGTGCATGGGCGATTTGGTTGGAAGGTCCATATGGATTAAGTTGAAGAGATCCTTCACCTACTGAAGACCATTTTTGTTCCAAACCCCGTCAGTCATGCTCCCTTAGAGTAAAAGTAGAATTAACTCTTGGGACTGTCACAGCTGGTTACCCAACATACAGACTGTTGTGGCAATAATTTGATAGTTTGCCTTTAATTTCTCTACCAAATAAGTTTGGCTAATGATCTTCTGACTGCTTATTTCCAATGTCACTATGATGAGTATGATGTTACAACAGTATGTGGTAAGTGAAATTTTAACTACACATTAAACAAGCAACTACATATAGTAAGATATACCAAATATATCAGCAAGTAAAATAAAACAGGTGATGAAGTTGCTCAAAATTCCCATTTTTGACCTTTACTTCTCACTCTCTGTCTCTCTCTCGCTTTAATCTGTCTCACTGTCTCTCTTCCCTCGCTCAAGCTCTCTTTCTGTCATTATTCTGACAAGTCCTGGCAGGCCGATGTGAAGACCTAGGACAAATCAATACACCATCTAACCGCTGTCAGCTGGAGTCCTCTGTGTGTGTGTGTGTGTGTGTGCGTGTGTGTGTGTGTGTGTGTGTGTGTGAGCAGACAAGAGTGTATCTACTTGCGTGGATATTGCATTCATTACTCTTTCCTTCCTTCTTGTCTTGCTTATACCGGCCTGTCTTTTTTTTTTTTTTTTTTTTTTTTTTTAAAACAGGGGTGTCGATGAGAATCCAATTAATATTTACAATGACAAATTACAAAGTGAACATGGAGGTTAAAGAGACTACAACAGAAGGACGATGAGCACTAGTCTTTTGTTGGCCTTGTTGTTCTTTGTCTTGTAAAGAAGCAGAGATAATCATATTTTTTTTTGCGCTTAAAGAGGCATTATAGAACTTTTCACCTGATATTTCGACTGAACTTTAATTAAATCCAGTTGAAATGTTTAGCCATGTTCCCTTTGTCTGCAACCACAATATGATCCACATTAACCTCAAGCATATAGGAAAGAGTGTGTGTATGTGTGTGCGTGCGTGTGTATACGCCATCCAGAGCCTGTCAGTTCCAGCAGCCTTGTTCTGCTCTAATGGCTAGTTTGACCTTTCACTGATAACTGGATGAATAACATGATCCCTGCTTGCCTCTCACTTCTGCCCTGGCCTCTGGCTCTCACCTCTTTAAACACTCAACTTACTACCTCTCTTTCTTTCCTGCCTGTTTCCCAAAATCACATTTTACTAGTTCTGTCTTTTCTGCTTTCTCACACAGTATATTAGCTTCCGCTTTGTGTTTTATTTACGTTGTCTCAACACAAATTTTAAATGTACCCACTTGGTTTTCTTATCATTCTTCCTTCTTCCTGGCATTACTTCACCCCTTTATTTTACACACCATATACATTAAATCCATCAAAATATTTGTGCCTTTGCTTTTGGCAGCAATTTAGTTTTCACAAAATCTGTGTACAAATTTAATTTCTTGGTGCACTCATGAAGAAGCTTCCAATACTTCAAGACCACCTCTTTAATTGTACAATTTTTTTTTACAAATGCCAGAAAACCACAATCATGATAAAGGCTTAAACTCTCTCATGCTCTTCAGCTGACAAATTATTTCATAACATGGGTTAAACTGGTGGGCAGATATAAAACTTAATTACTTATTTTTTATTAGAGAAAGGTTTAAATCCTGTATTTGGCCACTGGAGGGCAGCAGAGACAAGCTCCTTCACTGTGCGCTGTCTGTGGTGCTGAAACATTCAAATACATTCATTGTCACTGTGTCTCTGTCCATGGTGCTGAATAATTCAAAGTCTTGGTATAACCCACTTCTCTTATTTCATATCTCCCCTGTCCTCTGTCCTTGTGTGACCCAAAAATCAATCAAGGGCGCCTTCATAATAGACAGCCCATAATTCCTCTTTTTATTCAGCCTGTCGCTCTGTGTAAGAGTATAAGGTGTGTGTCAATGAATCATTATTTTCTCAGCTTAACACTTTAGTGTTAAGTATATAAATATACAAACCCAAAATGTTTTTGTCCTCTTTAGGTCTGTCCTGATATTTGCCTGCATACCACAGAATTGCACTTATTTCACATCATAAAAATGTATCTGGAAAGGACAGGAAATGGAGAAAAGAAGGAACACTGGCAAGGGTTTTGTAGTGAGCTCTGAAACTCTGCTCGGCCAAGTGGCAAGAATCCTGATGATGTTTGTCTCTCAAATCAACTGAATCACACAACTGTTCCACCAATTGTGTGTTGGCATTTAAACACAACACAACAGAACACACTCATAGGCACTGACATCTGTGAAGAACTGGAATCGTGGCCTCATGTTGCCATTCAACACAATCAACATCGCTGTCCAAGATTTCTGCAAAGTGCTAAACTGTTACTCACTGCAGACTGCAGCCTCATTCTCCAAATCATAGCGATTGTCGTGATTACATTGATCTTGTCACTCTTTTTAAGAGGTGCAGCTTATCTTTGAACAGATAAATGTACAGAGTGTTCAGCAAACTCAAAATCTGCCAGCTCGGTGAGTCACTTTGTGTCCTCCCTTAGAAATTGACACAGCTTACCGGGAAGCTGAACAACATGATCTGGAACATTTCATGATAGGATCATGTTTTTTAGCCTCAGGTTTCCCTGGAGAGGGGACAGGTCATTCCAATTACAAAGTGGCTGTGGTAACCGCAGCTCCATTCCAATAAATCAGTAATCATAGGGCACTATGGGAAAATGAGGTTCAAACTTACACAAGATCACTAAATAGACACTGTCAGAGGGCAGACAGAGCACAAATGGAGAAAAAGCAAACTCAAGATTGAATTTGAAATTCTTAATGACTACCTACTGAGATACGGTAAAGAGAACCAGGCTCATTAAAGACATCCCATTAAAAGGAATTAAACTTGTCTGTACAGATATGATCTTGGATGTTTAATAGAGACATTATTAAAATTGGATTTTAGGTGAGTGGTGAAATTTAAATTTATTGCATGGCAAGTCTCAGCGTTTGAACTGACATACCTATTTAAAAAACGCTCCACTCAGCAGGTTCCCCTAATTTGAAATATGGGAACCAACATCATCTGCCAGTCAGGGTTCAGCATTAGGATTATTCTGCCTGTCATGTATTGTAACTAAACCAGAAACCACATTTATTTGCAAGATGAACAAATATGACATATACATTATTGTACATCTCAAACACATTTTGAATCTATAATCCTGATCAGTGTTAACTATTGTGAATGTAAGAGGAGACCCAGACAGTGTGAGTCACTTCACAATATTCAGTCCATGTTATTCAGTTACAGTAAGTAGTCAGTTACCATGGTTAGTGCCTGCCTAGTCAATTGTTTCTATTCTGTAGTCTCTTTCCCTCTCTAGTGGTGCTCAGAGAAACTGCAGACTTAAATCTATCATCTATCCATCTCTGATTGCTAATGCAAAAATCACCTCTCATACCAGAGGATAAGTAGCCTACATTAAAAATAAATCAATGACCATATCAACAATTTCAATTTCAGTATTTGATTCATTCATATACAGTTAAGTATGAATTTATTGTAGATAGGAGTGGGTCCAAAATAATTTTCTGATTGTTACTTCCATTGGTTGCTTTGCGTAGCTGTGATAAATGTTTGCTTGTAGAGGAATTGTTTCAGTTGCTTTTCCACCTTTGGTTAAACTTGACCAGATATAGAAGTAGTAGTAGAAATAGTATGTCATAGCATAACGGTGTTTGTTTTTTTCCTCAGTTTATCTCGGTCTATCCTGTGCAAATTATATACTCCAAAAGGGAAGATGCTTCACCTACTTGAATAGTTCCAACATCATGTTTAACTGGAAGTTTGAAGTTCTGTTGCTTTAATATTTGATGTGGCTATCACCTTAAGCTCTCTATTCCAACCACAATGGTCAAGAATGAACTGTAAACCTATCAACATTAATGCCTTTGAGTGAACAACAAGATTATATTATAACGTTCAGACACAGCACCAGTCAAAGCCCATAATGCCAGACAGGTATCTTAAAACACAACTAACAGCGGACAGTAAGGAGATCAAACAGGATGTTGGACTAAATACTGCATTGGCTACAATATTTATCATAAATATTTCAAGTAAGATTGATTAAAGACATTTTAATAATTGGATCAGACCACAACCTTCTCAAAGACTGAATCTGGCTGTTCCTCCCATGGCCGGTGGGTGGCAGCAAAGCGCCGCCGACCTTGAACCGTACCACAAAACACAGCAGAAGAAGTGTGGGCTATAACCAATGCGGGGCAATGGGGTGAGTATCGTTATATTTATCAACCGGTAGCTCAGAAATGCCATAGAAAGCATGCGAATTAGCCAACATGCAATTGAATTATGTGTTTTAATTGTGAGCGGAGCGTGTCATGTTGTGGAATACAGGTTTTAGTATAGCTAACCGTGAAAACTGCTGTCCGCCTACACAAAGCAGCATCCTTCACTGTCACAGTTAGCTAGTTAGCTGCTAGCTAGCTGTCATCGTCGGTGATGATATTGTAGTTCGGTAAAATGAGGTTAAAAAACGTGTCTTAATTTTTAAACGCTCTAACATTTAACCTGTCACTATCAGACGTATAAAAATTATGTTAACCATAGTTAGCCTCGCCGACGTTACAAAAGATGCGGCAGGTTAACCGTTAGCTGCCAGCAGGTGACAAAATAAGCAGCTAATTAACATTTAATATACAGGAGCGTTTTTTTTTTCTTGAAGACATAGAGACTTTTTTGAGATGGGATGAATTCAGATAGACTGCCCTTTGTCTCTGTCCTACATTTCACCCAGTTGCGTGAGAAACAGAGACCTATTTTCACATCCCCTCTGGGTTTAAGGCTCCATGAACAGCGGTCTCCCAGATGAACCCGTTATGTTTGGATGGAAAGTGAGGAACTGGAGTAACGTTAGAGAAATGTTGTCTCAGGCTTTTTGTCCTCAGCGTACATGAATCAAAGCAGTTTAGAGAATGGCTTAATTATGATGCACGACCAACCTTCAGACCAGGGCTGCTGTGTACATTTACAGTGAATAGCAACACAGTCACAGTATATAATGGTATAATAGTAATAATGGTTGGTTATTATGTATTTAATAGTGGGTACCCACTATGTAGAGGGTGGACAAATAATTGAAACAGTAATAATACTGTTTCACTGTTTCAATAGTGGTAGAGCCTTTTGCATATATTATTTGTACCTTTGTGCCAAGCACAGTTAGTGCAATGGACACATGGCACTTACATATCTCCATGCAGGGAAGTTTTATTTATAGAAGTTGCAGTAACAAATGCACATCGGTGTGGTGCTGGTGATGTTTTTGTTATGTAATGTTTATCATCTTTATTTGTGAGAGTGAGACAAAGAGTATTTCCTCCCCCAGTGGGACAATGGAATTTATTCTGATTCATTTTATTCTATTCTTGAGGCATAAGCACATTGTCAAAACCTCATGGGAGTGTATTTATTGGCTTCACAACTGATTTCTTTCATTAAATGTGGGGGTGATCAAAGTGTTACTAGCAGATACTGTGCTGTGGTAGATAGTCACACAATAATGTAGGAATTACAGTTAGAAATTAGCTTTTCGGGAAAATGGATTAGAGGAAGAAACCCTGTATGCAACAATACTGACGCAAATTCTTGGTTCATCTCATTGTCTTCAACCTATCTTAACCACAGTTTATCTCAGCCATTGTGGTTTAATAACAATGTGTAGGCTAAACCTGTTTGCAGTCCTTGCACTCATTAGAACTGCAAAAGCCATTTAAAAACATGAATGCAATTCAAACCTAATTGGCCAACAACAAAACATTACATACTAGTCTAATGCTCCAAGCAGAACATTATACAGAGGCGCTCCTCTTCACAGCACTTTGTTTTTCTTTTAAAAAACTGTTCGTCTAGTTTTACCATATGCTTTTTCGGTGCATATACATTGTTTACACATCGGCCCAAAGAGCTTCAGATGGCTTAATCCAAGTGAGTTATATCTGATGTAAAGTGCCAATATAGTGCTCCTCTCTCACTTGCCTTGCAACTACTACTACTCTTCTTCACTTTCATTTTATCTCATAAACCCCTCTCCTTCTTTCCTTCTCCAGTCTACTTGATTCTTGCTGACCTCCAGTGGCGATTGGCCCCCACAGCCATCTGTCAACATGCAAGGATTCTACTCCAAGCTCGACTCCTCCCCCTCCTTATCCCCATTATTGGGGGTGGGCCTTGGGGGAGACAGCGCTCCTGTACCTCTAAGCTTGGCTGTGGAGACGGAGAAAGCCCAGGCCCTCCTACAGACATTCAGCTCTGCCTCCTTGCTGGCATCTGCAGGACTCGGTATGTTCTGTGTGGTGGCGGACCACGCCCTCCAGCTGTCGGGCATCCAAAACCACCTGTGGCTGCGTGCTGCCCTGGACAATGCCACACATGGATTAGTGGGGCTGTGGTCATGGGCGGTTGTTATTGGACTGAGGAAAAAGAGTGATCTGTATGAGGTGTTGCTGGCCGGTCTTCTGGCATCAATCATAGACCTGGATCACTTCTATATGGCTGGATCCCTGTCACTCAAGGTAAGACCTGCACCCAACCCTGAGGGCTGACAAATCTGCAGTTTCTCCAAACTCTAAAAAACTCTATAACTAATTCATATCAATTTTGCATACTGTCCATGCTGCAGCATCAGGCCTTCACATATATTTAGAGTCTGCATAATGCTGTAACAATAATGCATAATAATGGTTTGCCTGGTTGCAGCCATCTTTCCTTGGAGAAATATTTCAATTTTCTTTGATATAATATACCAGACTTTATTCACATCATTTTTTAACCAATTCAGGGAATTTGAGTCATCGGTAAAGATGTACAGAAGCTTCAGAAAGTATTCACACCCCTTCATTTCTTGGTTAAGCGCATACAATGGATCAAGGCTGGGTCCTCACCATAGCGGCCAGGATTCAAATGCAGCCTGCGCCCTTTGCTACATGTCATATCATTTCCCCCTCTCCCCTGTCGTTCCTGTCAATCTCCACTGTCACTATCAATAACAACAAAAAAAGAAAAAGAAAAAAAAAAGGAACGAAAAAAAAAAAGGCACACACCTGTGTGAACGGAGTCACTCCACGGTCACTAACAGTACTTCAATAGTACGCTGCAGAGATGGGAAAAACCTGCCGCAAGGACGACCATCTCAGCAGCAGTCCATCAATCAGGCCTTTATGATAGAGTGGCTGGATGGAAGCCACTTTGAGTAAAAGGCATGAGACAGCCTGCTTGGAGTTTGCCAGGCAGCCTTTTAAGGACTCTGAGAGCATGACGAAAAATATTCTGTGGTCCGATGAAACAAACATTCTAGGTGATATAAATTACACATTTTTCTAGAGATCACATTACAGAAAACTTGGAGGATGGATGAATTATTTTCAACTAATGAGTCAAAAACTACATCTCTGTCATACCACCTTGCAGATTTGGAACATTTTTATATGTGCGCTCTTTTGAAACATGTTCATTGACAAGTTTCCAGTCGTTTCTCACAGAGCAGCAGTAAGGCATTTAGCTTTTATTTTTAACTTGTGTGTGAGTGCAGAATTGACATAAGGAAGAAATGCAACTCGTTTGCAAAAGTTCAGGCTTTTTTGGGGTAATATATAAATAATAATAAATAAGTAATTGTTTAAATTGCACTGAATACAAAGTGGGGTCCAAAAATCTGAGACCACTTTCCTGTTCAAGCGAATGGGAAAGTGCTCTCAGACATTTGGACCCCACTGTATTTGTAAAGCAATTACATGTGAAATAGTTTGTCTGTTGAACAATTGCCTTTAAAAATCAGATGGAAATCAGGAAAAGTGCTGATCAGTATTGGGGATTCAACTCACAGTTCTGCAGAACTCGTTCAGTAAAGGGTTGGGAATAATAATATTTGTAGATTGCAGAATGTTATGGTATTGCAACTGTCATTCCCTCTCCCTCTTTGCTTCCAGGCTGCTGTGTCTCTCCCTCAGCGTCCTCCTCTACACTGTTCCTCTCTCATCCCCGTGCTCTGTCTCTCCCTCCGCTTCCTCATGTGGATCGGACGCCTCAAAGATGCTTGGTGCTCCTTGCCGTGGATGCTTTTCATTTCCATGGCGACGCACCACGTCCGGGATGCCGTGCGCCACGGATTGTGGGTGTGCCCATTTGGCAACACGGCACCAATCCCCTACTGGCTGTATGTCAGCACCACGGCGACCCTTCCTCACCTTTGCTCAGTGCTCATGTATCTGACAGGAACTAGAGATGTGATCTCCACCAAACACGGGGTGGCCATCGATGTTTAGAGGCCACTGACTTATGTCTAATGCCCAACATCTAATGCTGATCTTTTATGGATTGCCTCTGGGAAAAATGTTCTAAGCTGTTTGAAACAACTTTTAAATACTGGCAATTATGTTTGCAATCCAAGTCGTATTAGTGGAAAGACTACACTCAAAAGATCAACTTGACTATTTTTCCAGCTTAGGTGTGGAGAAATCTGTCAATAAAAGTCTTTTTCTGATTTCTTTCCAGTCACAAGGCTGAAGAAACAATCACTATATGATAATAGAAAATAAAAAAAAAAAAACACTTAAAATCTAAAAGTTTGGGTTCCTTGAAATAACTAATTAGCATTTCAAAAAGAACGTTCCAGTGTGAGTGCCAATCACAATTTTTTTTCCCCTTGTAACGTGGAAATGTTAAAGAATGCTGTTCACGCATCTAGACTGATGCTGATCTCTAATAGCTGTCTTAGGTGTTTTCAGAGTGACCCTTTAAAGCTTTGACATATCTTTTTGCAGAGGCTTGCTTGCTGTCTGTTCATCTATCCAAACCCAAATAAGCGACCCAAAACTTGGTCCTCTTGGAACTCTTATCACTTTAACTACCACTGTCCATCCTCGTCCTAAGAACACTCAAGGAAAAGTCAACCAAAGGTTAACCACAGGCTGTGTGACACTGGCACATTGTTTGCAGTGTCACTTTCTCCCTCAGTGCATCCAACACTATGTTACCACTATTATTCCACTGTGCATTTAAAGTTGTTCATCTGCCATAGAAGTGAAATTCAATGTAATGTAGATTGATGTTTAAATCGATACCGCATTCCATTGACTTATCCACCATTAACCACTGCAAAACAATAATTGTCATCTGTAGTGTCATTAAATGCAACACCTGTCCCCTCTCATTGTCCAGTCAAAAACAACTTTCCCTACAGATGCCAGTTTTTGGATGTCAGCGCTGCAGCAGTGGTTTTCAGTGCCAAACATGTCAGCCACAGAGATGGATGACAATTATGGAGTCGCTTAGCGTGGTGGTAATCCTTGTTTGTTTAGAAAATTTGGCGCATCTTGACATGGCATTGGCATTGTTGGATTTAGCTGACTTTAGTTTAAACCAAAGCACCATACTTGTTGGATAAAAAAGGTTCCTTTACTGTGTCCATGGATCAACCTAGAAAGTGAGACGTATGTTTCAAGAGATACTTTGCTGAAGATGCTACAGTTGAGATTGCTGTTTTTTTGAAGTATTACTATTATTAACAACACATTTTACACTTTCAAACTGGAAATTCCATTCATTGTGTTAAATACATTTACAACTTTGGCTCTGTTGTTACAGCAAAAGCAACGTATGAAATAGGACACATGGTTTTGTATTTTAATGTTATTTTGAAAGGCGTGTGGTTTCCCAAGTGACCTCTGTTTTACACCAACTGCAGAAATGATAAGGGAAATGAAAAGATAGTACTAGAAAGATGCTGTGTATTTATTTTTAACACTCAAGGGAATAACTTGTATAATTGTGTTCATTACAAGTAATATCTTTATATTACATATTAACTTGCTGTATTTTGTCCTATTTTTTATGCTACTGTACTTAAATGATTGACACTGTACAGTACAGTTTACATGCTGGAATTCTCATTTGGCTTTTCAGTGGTGAAAACATGAATTTGCAGAGGGATGCGGACTTTCTACTGTAATAATATATAAATATTATAATTCACTAAGTCGCAAAATATTTAGAGGCAAAGTTATTACACTGTTTTAGATGTAGATGAATCACACACATTCCTTAACAGTATTCTTAATACTGTGTTTTAAATAATGCAAAATAATAATATGTTGTAATAGAGTGGATTTAATGGGTTTTAGAAACTTGTATTATTTGAATGTAATTGACATGACTTCAGTATAAAGGTTTGTAAAGGTATAAAGGTTTGTAATGGTCTGCATCTATATTTTCCATCTGAGACAGGTTTAAGTTTATTGCTGGAAACTTCAAATCAAAGCTTTGTGAAATATCAGCCACAACAACTGTTTTAATTTCCAACAGATTCCTTCATATTTATTTCTCCTCGTGAAGCTGGTGCTTGTTGATTTAAGTTGCAGTGATGCTTGATGTCCACTAGGTGGCAACAGTGAGCTATAGTGATTCAAAGTGTTTCACTTTTGATTATTATATTATGTATTTCTCTCTGTTAAGTTATTTAGGGTGAAGAGTAGAGAAGTGGAATTAAGAGTCGGTGCTCAAAGAGTCTTGAATTTGAAATGAAATAGAAAGATAAAAGAAAGAGAAAACGAATTTGGTACTCATCAGGTCCTAAAGTTTGCACAGTGTGTTATAGAAAAAATCCCTGGTACATATGAGTTTCATTTAAAAATGTATTTTAATTGTTTTGGTATTTTACAGGTTGTTTTGTTTTTGTTTTGATACTATTGCACTATCATCCGTCTTTAAATTATTTCTAACTCACGTCTGCGTTATAAATGATGATGATAATGGCATGGAAAGGAATTGACAGAGTCCAAGAGTTCACATAAGCAACTTTAACAGTCATTAGCACTGTACTGTACAACAGCTATTTAACTGAAAGTGACTTTTAGAAAGAAAAGGTTAGGACTAATGTGAGAAACCCACATGGAAGCTGCAGTCCCATGATCTTTTACTGCTGCTTATGTTTACAATGTGACTTTCATTAATGGAATATTATGTTGAATTTTGCACATTTTATGTTTTTTATGTGTAAATTATGTTTTGTATTATTTGTTGAATATCGTTTTTTTTTGCAGTTTTGTTTTCAATTGTAAAAAAAAAATATAGATAGTAACAAGATAGTTTTAATGTAGTGTTCTTTTTATCTCAATAAAATATATCGTGTATATATATTCCATGTTATTTTGCATCAATAATACATCTGCGTAGTGGTATAGGAGATTATAACTAGTATAGTGAGAGATTTTACATCATGTCATCGTTAGTAAACATTTTGATGTACAGAATCAGGAGTCTCAGTTCAGCGTTTTGTCCTGATATGCAATCAGAGATTGCTTAATGTCAGTATGAGTCCACTGTAGGAAATGGGCAGAGTTGCAAATTTATTCACTGACCTCATCCTCAGTATAGACAAAAGCCATGTATTGGATATGAAATGTTATTCCCCGTGCCTCATTTCATCACCACAGTTAACAGCTATTGGAGGGAAAAAGGTTTAACAAACTTAAACAAAATGTATAAATTCGAGATGACCTGTTCAAGTATTTGGGAACCTTGAGCCTTGAGATCTGTTGCTCTCGCAATTTACAGAAAAAACAATCCGGCTACACCACGCACCCTACGCTGAAAAATTACAGGTAGCTACTTCAAGGTCAAGCAACGATGATCAGCTATGTGAGTCATGTTTTTATCAAGGGAAAACAAACTGTGCCAGTTCATTTTATATTTCAATGTGTATAGACTAATTAGCCCTGTGTAAAAGAAGAGACATCATAATATTCCTCTTACAAATGAAAGTTGAATTCATAAGCAATAAAACACCCTTACTCAGTTCAATGCTGACAGTACTGTGTTAGTTCACTGACCGTGACTCCTCTCTACATGTGCTAATGATATTTAAAGCACCATTGTCTTGTTATTGGGCACAGTGACTGCTGTTGAGCCAAAGTTACACTTCAGCTGCTGAGTGAGGACTTAGTGGATTGCTCTTAAAACCATTGTGCTGAGCTGTTGTTCGCTAATTGGAAATATCCTGATCACAGCAGGAAGAAAGACATTGGGCTGATTCATATTTGCCATTCCACTGAATGAAGTGAGATTTTTTTTTATTTTAAAATCAGTTTTCACAGCTTTCTCCTTGTTCTGTGCCAACACTTACACCCTCCACCCTGCTACTGTTATTCTGACCACACCAGCAAAATGATTGTTGGACATCATCTGACTGGTTATTCAGAAAAAAAACAAGTGAGCATAAGTTTTCTCAGCAAGGATCTCCTCCTCATCTGCAAAGACATGGAAGTGGTCCACCTGACATCGATGATGGCCAAGGGAACAATAGACAATACACTCCTGTGATTTTCAAACTTGGACGCTAAATATGCTGAAGCCTGCATGATAACATGTTTGCAATATGGCCAGGGGAGCCAGAAAACCAAGGCAATCTCAATCCAGTTAAACATCTAAAAAGACTCTTTCACAAAGAACAAAAGGCAGCTTGAGCATTTGGGATTCATCAGACACTGTCACAATCACATAATGGAAACTTTCTAAAAAAAGAAAAGAAAAAAAAGAGAAAGACTGCTACAAGAAGCAACATGCTTTAGGGGAAACTTGGTCAAGTTTCTGAGACTCGAGCTCAAATAATACAAACGGCATGATAAAGTCGGTCGGTCATCAATGGCTCATTTGTTCAGAATAATTTCTTTTTTTTTTTGCACCATTTAAGTGTTTCAGAAACCAGACAGTTGACATTTATCACCGGAATTACAACCAACTAAAGACTAAATTGTGTCGCGAGTATTAGAGCTAGGCCTTCGACCAACCGACCGCGTTTCAGAGCACACAAACACTGTAAACACACCTGTTACCTTCCCAGCACGGTGCGGTTAGACTAAAAACACTGCTGCTACACCTCCCGCTGAGAGTGAGCTGCTCATTGTTTTAAAAGCGCAAAGTCACCGACCCGAAGCGTCGCTGACACAAAAGCTTCGACACCAACCCAGGGAAGAGACGTGACGGATCCATTTTACCTGTCTGTACAGCAGCCAACAGCTCACTCTCTCCATCTAGCCCGCACCAGTTTAAAGCGTGTGCAAAATACTGTAGCAACACTCATAAAGATATAAATGCTTAAACCGTTGTCAATATTGCCAGGCCTCACAATCATACGCTCAGATTCTCCACAATTCAATTTTTAAGTTCATTTACAGAAACCATGAGCACAAAAGTACAATCTATCAGATTTACCAGCATTGCAAACCAGCAACATGACGAAAAGGGGTTATCCTACCTTTGAAGAGGTCCTGAAGTCCAATCTTCTGTCTTTTCCTGAATGATTTATATTCCTTTAGTCCACAAGAATACAACGATCAAAATAATTTGATTTTATTCCAAGTTGTGAACATTGTCATATGAAGTCCATTGCAGACTGTCCATTCAGTTTGCCATCTGTGCTGTGTCTACTGTCTGTCTGACTGACTGAAGTCTGTGATCTACTAGTTTAGACCCCTGGAAAGAAAAAAGTAAACCCCATGGGATCTGGTCTAATTGAGCCTTTGGGAAGGCCTTGGGCAATGATTCTTGGTCCCACCCACTTAGAATTACAAGAGAATAATTATTACATAAAGGAGATTAAATATAACATTTAAAATGCTGATATGGACCCTTATGGGTCCCAATTGATTGTCACCAATGTTTTAACCAACCAACTGACAGAGAGAGGCAGGAAAGCAAAGTTTTTTTTAATGAACACAGGTGGCTTAAGGTGAAGGCTTCCCATGTTCAAGTGTAAACAATTAAAGCTATTCTTATAAGAGAAAACCACTGGACAAACCTGGCTATAAATTGAATACCAAATGTAGTGCAAATTTTTTTGTTTTAAATTATTGTTTTAAACGTGCACAAGGCTATTTGAATTTTATTTTCGGAAATTAATGCCAAATTAAAAATAAAATTTTAAAAAAAGTTAACACAGGTGGCTTGAGAAAGAGAAATGAAAAGCCCAAAAGCTACAAGTGTGATAAAATAGTATTTATTTCACAGAAACATACAAGGACAGGGAGAAAAAAACAGCTTATGGTGATATCTGTCGTACACATAAAGCAAAAAAAAGCAAAAAAAAAAAAAGACTATGTACATCTGAGAATGGATGCCTGAGTGTAATTTGAGTTGAAAGAACTAAAACTAACAGGCTCCATCTGCTATCACATACTGCAGAGGAACATGGACAGACTGAGAAGACCACATGTGTGTCCACAAGAGAAGATAATAGAGGAAACACCACTAAAGTGAAAGAGAAAGGTGGCAATTGATAGTTACACACTGTGCAGAAAGAAAACAAATCACTTTGAACCTCAAAAACAGGATGGAAAACAGTCACGGATACTGCACATTCAATGCAACGCATACAATTCAACGTGATGGATGGTCTATATAATCTAACTTGAAAATGTACTTACATTCATTCAGTACTAGGATATCTATTGCCAGTTTTCAAATCCAGCGTATACACATGAATAAACGTATTTAATTTTGAATTTTAGGTTTTGTTGATAGGATATTTTGCAGTATGCAGATTTTTTTTAAGTTTACACAGACTCTAAAAATTCTGATAATTTATTCTTTTGGAGCTACAAAGGACAAACACATTTTTCTCCAAAGTAGAGGATCAGCTTTCTATCAACTGTAATTTAGAAAGAGAAAACAGTTTTGCTTTCTTTGTGAGCGTTGCCACAGGAATTCAGGAAGAGCTGCAAGAAAAAATAAAAATAATAAAAATAATCTGTGGTTCATCTGACTGCAAAGAAATAAACAAAATTGAACACTGAAAGAAATGCAAGTTGGATGAAGATGAATTCAGTAAACACATTGTCCATACAGTAACCGTACAGTAACACAGCTTCATATAACTGGGGAAAAAAGACACAAACACACAACGCTGGGAAGCTTCTCAAGACATGATTTATCCTCTGTCACTAGTACTATCTTTCAGTGGCAATCTCCCTTCAGTCAGTTGAGGATTTTGCATTGCAATGTTATCTAGAATTACTGATTCTAAACCTCAGAGGCGATATGAGGAACGACTGAACATTTATTGCCATTTGCTCTGGTTAGAATCCTCATAGGAAATTTGTATTATCTTCCATTGTGTCTAATGGATTCATTATTGGCCTACAATATCTTATTTGGAGCATTTAAGGCTAACGTATGGATAAAATCTGTCCGCAAACCCAATATCTGCAGGGTATCAACTGTATGAAATGATAAACTGTAAACTACTAATACAATTAACGCAAGACCGAGTTAAACCATGTCTGTGAAACTATCCCAAAGAATGCTTCTTTTAATCTCTACATATAAACATCACTTATAACATACATTTGTATTTTTTTTTAAGTGTGATATACAATAATATACAAAAAAAGCTTCAACTGGATTCATGCATAATACGTGGAGCTAGCTTGAGAGAACATACAGTTGTCAAACTGGAAAAAAGTTCGACTTAGATGCACCTTGTGTTTCTGATACAAACTACACAGTTAGTCAATCAATCAATCAATCAACTGGGTTGACAAAGACACAGCTTTGGATCAACAGAGTAGAATAACCAGACCAACAGAAACAAAGGAAGAGAGAAATGTTTTAAAGCGAGCTGCCCTCTCAAGCAGTGCAGCCTCTCGCTTCCATTGGTGGCACAAAGTTAGCCAGGACACAAGGTTTGTAGGTGCAGGTGTCAAAAGCAGAACTAAACCAGATCTACTGTACTGTACTAGAGGTATTTGGTGCTTTTCATACGGTTAAGCACTAGCCACCCAGAAATCTTTCATTTTCAATTAGTTGACGGGTTGTGAGACACAAGTACAGTGAGCGGGAGCCGCTCTTGTCAAGTTATCGTCTTTGTACTCATCTCATGTACACACCCTCCAACTAACACACTCTGATTCAACCACATAAACTCTACTATCATGGGATAACTGAGCACTTAGTGAAAGCTTGACTGGTAAAACAAGAGGCTTCTGGTTTGTCAGTCAGCGAGGTGGCGATGTTCTTGCCATGTTAAGTAAAATCAGTATTATCACTAATGTTCAGCTACACTGACAATTAAGCGGTCCATGCCCACTGTTTATGCTACTGATTTGTGTCAATGCCCCACTGTTTATATCCTCCTACACTTCACCATTTCCCTCAAAGTATCACCCTACCAAACCTCCTCAACATTCATTCTAATTTACTGTAGTGTGTACTTCTCAGTTAGTGTGAACATATATGCTACTGAATGTTTCCATAGTAACTGGCGTCCAGAAACCGTTTTCTGGTGGTGCAGTGATGGTAGCAGTGATTTGAGAGCTCACTCACCATGTGAAAAGAATACCATGTCAAAGTTGTGAAATAACAGGCACTTCTAAACACTGTTTGCTCTTACTGACATTATCAGCATATGAAGCTGCACTCTGCATCCGCTTGCATTTTTCATGAGAGTAATTTCCAAAAGGACTTTTAGGTAAGATGATTATTTCTCAAAGTACTTTGTGCTTAAAAACTTTTACCAAATTAACTTTTGTCCCCTCATACATTTCTAAATGAAAAAACATGTTATAATGTATTTCTACCTGATTTAAAATCTCAATACATACAGACTAAAACAAGTTACTAACATAGGCAAACTATTATGAACTCCTCTTAAAATGGTCTCTATATGACCTTGTGGCCTTTCATTATCTTTAGATAATAACCTGGCTGACTAACCCTTTAAATGTTGTAACAGTGGCCAAGTGCTGAACAATTGGTCAATCAATCAAGAAATGGCCAAATATTTACTAGTTTCATCTTTTTGTTGTGAGGATTTGCTGCTTTCTCTGTTCTGTCATTTTAAATTCAATATCATTTAAGTCAACAAACCAGCAATGGAAATTATGATGATTTTTTTTTAACTTTTTATAGACTAATTGACTATAACATGATAAAATATTCCTCAGATTGACTGATAGTAAAAATATTGGGATTTGATTTAACTTGACTAGGATTGACTTTTATCCCTGAGTGGGCAGTGTTTAATCTCTTATAGAAATGCTGACAGACTGTATAATCATTTCAAACCTGACTTGAGAAAGAAGTTGTCAGGGGTTGTTTAGAGTCTAGACAGGAGAGTTGAATATCTATGGTTTAATATTCTCTAATTAACTAAGTATTTATGTAATGTCATAATGCTGGTGGTTTGTGATAGGCCTGTATCTCTTTTCTTATCTCTTTTTCATCATATGTGTCTTTCTTCACACACATTCAGGAACAGAGGATGGATGGATAGAAAAAGGTATGACAAAAGAAACAAAATAACACCTGCACTAAGGACATCAGACAACAAAACAAGCACATCATGCAACATAAAATCACTTGTCATACTGTAAATGAAATAAAGTCTAAATAACCCAGCCCGCCCACCCTGGACCTGATTCTCCATGTCCCCTCAGGTCAGGAGCCAGAAACAGGTTTGCTGCCCCTCAGCTGAGACCATAATGCCCGAAGTTGCTGCTTTGGCATCAGACGCACACAGAGAGACTGGCAGAAGTTATGATTCCTTCACAGCGTTGAGTCGGTCGGTCAGTCGATGTAATAACGGACACACATTAATCTGTCTCAAAATCAAATCTCAAACAAAAATAAAGAAAGTGAGGAGTTCTGGGTGGGAGAAGAGAAGCAAATTGTCCCACAAAAAAAAAAAAAAAAAAAATCATCTTCTTCCCACAAAAACAAACCTATGTTCTCCTGTTTGGCAGCTGCACTTCCTGTCATTACTTGTTGCTTGAAATGTCAAAGGTTAAAAACAATGTAACCCCTCTCCAAAGAGGCGGAGGAGTCAGTCCACCTGAAGCAGCATCGGTAGTGAGTGAACCCAAAGTTCCTGGTGCAGTGTCGCTCCCACAGTCCGCTGAGGAGTGAACAGCAGTGAAGCTGCTGAAGTGAAGGAACAGAGTACGGGCTGTTTTCCATGTCCCCATGGACAGTAGAGTGAGTCTGCTGATGCATTCTGGGTAGTGCAGCTAGATGAAACCATTGAATAAGTCCAGGAAAATCCTGCACATGTGATTTTTTGCAATACCCACACTTCAGTCAGCTTTTATATCATGGGCAACTTCACCCTACGTGACAGTTTCCTATACAGGTTCATCCTTGTTGTCCTGGATCCTGGATGGACTCTTGAATGATGCATTGTTGTTTATGTAGTTGAATGTGGACGGTCAGCACGCTACATTGGTAAAGGCAAAGGCTGACTCTTGGGAGGAGCCCTAGAACGGGCTGATGAGGAGAAGATGCTTGAAATCAACCTGAGATAAGAGAAGACAAGAGAAGAGAATACAAGAGAAGAGAAAAAGGGTAGGGAAGGAGAGTAGAATGGAGGAATGTGGAAGAGAGAATGCAACTTTAAAATACATGTATAAATCATTATGTAATTAAGCACTGCCTTGAAAGCACAGAATTAAATAACAGAGGTGGATGAGACATATGCAGGCATATTTACAGGGTTATAATCTGTGTGTGTGTGTGTGTGTGTGTGTGTGTGTGTGTGTGTGTGTGTGTGTGTAGCTTATAATCACAATTTGGCTAGATATCTGAAGGGCTGTCTGAATGTTGTTTATAGCAGCACTTTGAACCATTTCAGTTCTTACTGAGGCAGAGCTTTGCTATGCTTTTCTCACTGGCTTACCTCACATACAGTCATATACAGTAAATCTGAAAGAAGCGACACTTCACATCATGTTTTTAATTAGCTTCACCACACCATTCACAGATCTAAAACTATCTGCCAAACAAGCAAAACTAAGAACCACGTTGGACCATCAGTGAGAACTCAACATATTCAGAACACATGTGCAATGAGGCAGATGTGTGTATGTCTCACATTAGATTGGCATGGACTTCATCTTGACCATAGAGGTGAGTTCCTGTTTGGTAACGTGATCGCGCCGCCTCTGTCTCACCCTGGAAATACAAAGCAATAATTGAACACCAACAAAGTATTTTCTTTTAAAAGTCCAGGCTTTAGCAAAAAAATAAAATAAAAAATCAGTCAATGAGAGAGAAAGAGATAGATCACACCACTGTGGCTTGTGGATGTGGCATACATGTGTGTGTGTGTCTTACCACATGACATAGATAAGGGAAGGGACGGTGATGAGGATGACCACGGAGAACAAAACCAGCAGAATCACCAAACCCAAATTACTTTCATCCTCAAGTACAGGATCTGGGTGGGAAGAGGGAGGAAAAAAACAACATGGGAGGTCAAAAAAAAAAAAAAAAAAAAAGCAGGATGGGTGACACAGAGAGAGAAAGACTTAAAGCAACATATAGAGAGAGGTGACTGAGAGGGAAACAGAGGAAGAAATGAATGCTTGAAGTGTGGTGAAATAAAGAAAAAAGTTGAAACCCAGAAACAAATATAGCTCAAGAAGGAAGAACATGGACAACGAGACACAGCTGAATGAAACATCTCTGGGTTATTTTCTTGTCATAACTCAAAAATATGCATTTCATATTTTTACACACACTTTCACTCTGGTGTTTTTTTCTAAAACAAAAAAAAGAAAGAAAAAATAGTCTATGTGTGTCCTTGGATTTTATTTCTCTCTGGAGAGAAGTTAATTTTAAAGCTGCCATTTTAGTTTTCGCACAAACATGCACTTATCACACTGAGGCCAGCAATCAACTTTCACACACACAAACAAGGCAACACTGGTTTGAGCTGTGAAACAAAGCAAAAGCACAAACACACATTAACGAAGTGTTTAAAAACTTTTTTGTTTTGGTATTTTGAAGATTGAAAAGATTTATGTGTACATCTGCAAATGAAAGTGAAGAAATAGAAAAAAAACAATAGAAGAAGACATCTGGTTCACAGCAGACCCGCTTAAAGAACTCTGACAGTGATGTTCAGCTGTCTGCAGCCAAAACTGTGTGTATTTGTCCCCTTGTATATACTGTGTGTGTGTGTGTGTGTGTGTGTGTTTTTTTACCAGTCCATACTTGTGTGTATCCTGCATGTGTATATTTCAGATGGGCATGTTTGCAACTACGGGCTGCTTTTTTCCTGTGTTTTTGCCCATGTATACGTGAGCTGCTATGTACTTAATGTTTCATCCAGTGCACATACAAAAATCTAGTACCCTGCAGATGCACTTTACTGCAATTAGATGTAATTTGGTGATGATGCCAGGCACAAGGTACTTGCACTTTTCTATCCACAGAATAATAACAGTAAATAATGCCTTTCTAGAGATTATTGCTACATTAATGACTGATGCAGCTTCTTGCTCCTGCCAAAAAAAAAAAAAAAAAGACAACCTCGTCCTGCTATTCCTGCTAATCTTTCATGGATGTCCAGCTGAGTTGAAATCTGGCAAATGCAAAGGCTATAGTACATGAACCACATCATGATCATACTCAAGCCATTAATCACCACTCATGTTTGGTCTAAAAGTATCTGCATTTGTTAGGTTTCTCAATGCATTTTTCATTTAAAGGAGCTATTTCTAAGTTTTGATATTGCTACATAGCCATGGTAGCATTAACAGCTGTTTACTTACCAGGCTTGGCAAGAGCTTCAGCTATTGTCGCACTTCAAAGACAGGAGATTATAATACGCCCTCTAAGCAGCGCTACTTCTTCAGGGTAGACTGGACGCTACAGTGACTCGGTATCAGAAAGTGATGAGACAGTCTGACCAGGCCAGGGCTAGCTGGTTGGCATGCTAACTTCAGTGCAAGAAAAGAAGTAATAGACATAGAAGCAAAACAAGAGGGTTGCTTTGCACTGCTGGAGACAGCTATGGTAATAAAAAGCTGTTTATGCTGACGTTGATTATGTGGCAATAGCAAAATGTAGAAATAGCTCCTTTACTTTGGCACCCAACTGTCTACTGACATGTTTTAAACAAGCAAGAAACAACCTTGTTTCAAAACAAGTCCAAACTTGACTGTTAATTAATTCACCGCAAAATAAGATAATGGATGATTTGGTTGTGAATATAATGAGCAGCTCTTCCCAATGTGATAGGCTGTATTGAATTTTTTTTTTGTCACTTTATCCTCTTCTTCAGACTGATTAGTAGATTCCTGCCTTCGAAATACTGCTGTCCGAGGCGCAGTAATTCCATCAGTGCATCTTCCCTGCACAGTTTACGGTTCATGCTGTTGTTGTGCTTTATAAGTGTTCCATCTTTAAAGTTTGTTGTCGAGTCGGTAAACTTAGTTTTACACGCAAATGTTGGGCCACATTGAGATGAGTGCAGACAATACATGGTGTTCCTTCTTTGCAATATCTCAGCCATGTAAACTGTGTGAGCCCTTGCTGTAAGAGAGAGTAGGTCTCTGTCTTTTTCAACACAGGATCACCTGCTGATTTCTCATCGTAACTGTCCTCATCAGAAATTTGGAACTGTAGTTGCACAGGAGGGTCTCAATGATTTTTTCTCTTGAAAAATCAATAGATAGTTTGTCTCATTGTCACCAAAGGGAGAAAAGAGTGCTTACGGACTGGACACATCCCACACAAAACTGTCCACATCCCATGTTGTTATGACGACGAGAGCCTCACGCTTCCACTCCACTCTAATCACTCTTTACTATCTCACTCATTCACACTCACACACACCAATTCTCCCTCCCTCTCAGTGTTTTACACTGTATCCAAAAATGGTCACAAAATGCATCTCAATGGTCGCAGTCTGGAGCCCCGGATGTGGCTCTTGAATACAATAACAATTCACTTATCATTTGAAGCAACAAAGGAGTCTTACTGTGTGATTTTGCAGTCGAGGTTTCGGGCTTTGTGTTGAAGGGAAAAAAATAGTCTGGAAATCTTTCATCTGGTGGGAGCTGCTCTGCAGGGTCTGGGGTGGTGTATACTGAAGCACAAACAAACCCACACACATTTAGGCATTTATTTAAAGTGAGTAACAATAAATATTCACAACTAACAAAAGTTTGCTGTTAAAGGCTGAAAAACTTCTGCTTATCCAAGATGTTAGTATTAGATATAATGCGTGCTTGCTGCCACAGCCTCAATAAAGATATCAACTATGTTGCTTGCTTTTTTCACCTTAGATTTATTGCAAAATCAAAATTATTCCTTATGTCTTTATTAGTTGCAATTCTCTGTCTGTCTGCAGGAGTCAGTCAGCATTATCTCATCTGCAGTTAGTCCAAAAAGCTGATTGGGCTCATCTCTTTTATTTTACTTTTTGATAGCCATCATAAATCACCCTCTCCATCTTCTATCCTCCTATTTTAGGATTCATTAGTTCTCTGAAAAATATACCTAATGTGTTTTCAAAATAATTTAATTTGATTATTTTTATTTTAAGTACTAACTTTCATTATTCTGCTAATGCATTCATGTTATTGTACTTGAACTTGTCATGTCTCTTTCAAATTGACAAATCAGCATTTTGTAAATTTTCTGTCTGACCTTCCCAGGGCCGGACTAGAAGCAGGGGACTCCATTCACTCCACTGGCTCTCAGCGTTCACCTCGTCACGGGCTCGTATCTGCACCTGGTGGAGGTGGCCAGCCAGGGCGTCAAATATCACAACTGGACTCTCCTCTGAGTAAATCTGATTGATGGAGAAAGACAAGAGCACAAAACAGTAGCTGTAGACAGGAAGAAAAGCTGATGTGATGGTGGTATCACATGAATAAGCTCTGTGGAACTGCATGACCAGCATTTTTAGTGTTGTTGGCCTGTTGAGTGTGTTTTGAATGACCCACCAGGCAAAATGTCACTGAAAACATGTTGAAAGAAGACTGAAATCAGATTACCTGCCAACACTAGGTTCAAAATAAAAGTCTTTTTCCATGCTCTTAATGTCTTTTTAATTCCTCTGTTGGGACTGAATTTGTTAAAATGGTGGTTGGTTGTGCATTAACCCCTCATTATATAACAGAGAAAGTCATGTGATATGATAATGTTGATTTCAAAGAAAGTTAAACCACTTTCTGCAGCGACCAGATTTTTTTTTTTTTTTTTTTTTTTTTTTTGCACAAAGAGTCATCACTTGATCTAAACTAAAGAAATCAACTAAACAGATTAGATTTACAGACCTTGTAGTTACCACATTCCAAACTTAAACGCTTGATGATGCACATGTGGCATGAATTCTGGTGGAGACAGGTATTTTTCTCTTTCAGTATTAGTAAAAGGAATAATTTTACCTCAAGATTTCTGCTTTCTTGTTTTTAGTAGCATTTTCTGTGCTTGGCTTGTGTTACAAAAATAACCACCAAGGTTATTTATGTTTGTGACTAATCACAGTAAGTAGAATGCAATTAAGTTTAGTTTCAATTGCTGGTGAAATGTGGGAAACTTGAGGTGTATTTTCTTTCACACAACCCATATACAGTTTGTCAGTTTGATGCAATGCTCCAGTTTGACCCAGACTGCACCTCCATCAGCACTGAAATGAAACCTGTGGCCTTGTTTACTAACCTCTGACCAGTATATAGAGCCTTGCGGCCTGTATCTGATCTGAAACACTAGGGGAAAAGCCTCAGTCAGCGGCCAGGAGGAGGGAAAGTTCCACGAGACGATCAGCCTCTTTGGATAACCTTCTAGCTCCTTCGCGAACACTGACTCTGGAGGGTTTGGTTTCACTGCGAAGAAAGATGGACAGAACGAAAGAAACCCTGATTTAGCCACAATTAATAAAAAGACACAACTTAGAAAAAGATGTCAAGTATAGGAGAGCAGACTGCAACTGCAAATAGAAAGACCTGCTCCTTGAATTAAATTAAAAACAATTTCAATACCACTTTGATATTACTAGACCTATTCATTAATTCTTTACGTTATTAAACTGGTTCCACAGACTTCTAATGTCTTTATGTTTTTAAGCATGTTCACACCACTGTGTCAATAGTGTAATATGCAGAGGCTGAGGAACATCCAGTCGGCACACCAGCCATTGTGAAGACTGTCTCAAGGCGCTGTGAATGGCTCTGGTAGAGAGCAATAAGAATGTCTCATGCAGACAGAGAAGCAGCAAAACAAGATAATTGAGTTATAAGCAGACCAAAAGGGCACAGTTGCAACAGCAGTCTGGAAAAATTATGTACAGCATTAGACATCATGACATTTTGTGTGAATGATGTACTCTGCACAGGTGAATCTTCTGTAAATCCATTTAATATTGTACTTAACTTTAATCTGTGTAATTTTAGCAGTAGTTTATTTTCTACTCCACTATATTTTGGAGACTTGGAGACTTCTTTTCACGCAGTCAATAAATGATTATCACAGATTAAGATATCCACTAATATATAAAGTAGTTACAATTAGCACCACCTTGCTGCTAAGTTGAATTTTGAATGCAGTGCTTTTATTTGGATTGAGTATTTCTCCACTGTGCTACCTTTATTTAATTAAAACAGCAGAGTACCTCTCGACTTACAAAACATAGGTTGTTATATTACATCTGGATGTGTGAGCTTCTATGTTTTTGCTCATCCGTGGCTGTCCCTTGCAATGTTTGTTTGCTTTATGGTTTACTAATGGTCCGATAAATGCATGTAAATATAAAAATGTGTGTGAATATGGACATTTGGGAAGTAAATAAAGATCTTATGTTCAGCTTCTTCTGGAATATGAATGTCTCTACATCTCTATTGGTTTTAGAGGCAAAGGACAGAGAGGTACATGGAGAAGGGAAATAGTCTGAAGAGATCAAAACTCCAGTAACACTTGTAGTGTGAAGACCAGCTTTACTGTCTGCATATCTACCTGTTATAATTCAAGTGTGTCTATTGCTTTAAGGCAAAAGATGGAGAGGAGACAAGGGTGGAGCTATTGAAGCATGAAACTTGTACTACTGAAGTGGCACCATTTGTACAAACTATTTTAAATGAGTGTGACGTTACAACTGGAAAAAGCAATAGAGGGGACAGAGCCAACGATTTTGCCAACTAATCATAATTTTTGAGAAATGCAACAGTCTGTTTAAGTAGGACTGGATGTGGAGCAGTGGAAACAAGAACAAACTGTAAAATGATCAACTTTAGTGGAAAATCACTACTGTGCTTCACAGACATACAACAGTAATATGAGTTTAAAAAAAAAAAAAAAAAAAAATCAATTTTAATCCACATTCCTGTGTGTGTGTTTCACATGGTCTTACATAGCTCATGTAACTTAAACCGGACATATGTTGTCTCAGACCCCAGGGCATTGGTCTCAGTGATTCGAAGGGTATGGATGGTTTGCCAGAAGGCGGGGTGATCTACATCACAATGCTTGCGGGTGACATCCATGACACATGGCATCCACTCCTGACCATTGCCCCTTGAAAACAAGACAAAACATGTTCAAATACTTAATTTTTTTCCTTTGTGTTAAAGACAATTTAACTGTGTTGCAAACTTTAAAAAATGTTATGATCCAGTGGTCACCACAGCTTAAGGCTAAAGCAAGGATAGAAAGAGTGTGAGACCCACTGCTGTAATATGTCAAGGTTAGAAGTTTCCACTAAGTACAATATGTCATGTTAGAGGAAGGAAGGCAAAGTAAAGAGAGGAAGCAGAGAAAGCTCACACTGTACACACTACCATCAAATTGTACCCCTGTGGCACATGCACTATATTTAGTATCTTCATATCCCATTCTGAATGTGACCTTGGGCGTTGCTGTTTCAGTTGCAGTGTCCGGCTCTTACCTGAAGGAGGCATTGTACTGGGCTGGCAGGAAGGTCTTTACAGATTCCAGCCAGGAGCAGCGAACATGAGTGTGATTGGGCACTTGACAGGAAATGCTCAGCAGCCCAGGGGGATCTGAGAAACGGAAATCAGAGTTCACTTTTAGGACAGAGGGGAAGTCTTTTTAGATGAAGGTAAAAATTTTCTCAAGTCTAAAATCTACACCGCTGTGCTCTCTTGTTCTTATCATTAATCAAAATATTTCAGGAGAAGCCTTGCCAGTACCATGGAAAACTCCCTGTCCCTTAAAAGGAAGTCAGCTTAGGGAGCCGCTTCCTGTTTGAGACATTTACAGGAAGTGGATGGCTTTGTCTTTGTGACGGCATATAAGATCAGTTTACTCTTAGGACCTGTAACCTGTTGTGATTATTACTGTTGTAACAACATGTCTTCTTATAGCCAGAGCACCAGCGTAAATTAAATACTGAGAAAATCATTCATAAAAGAGAAATATGTTGACCCAAAGACAAGAGAGAGATGAGAATGTGTGAGTGGGAGAAACAGAAACAGAAACTTTATTTATGCTTTTATGCTGAATTATCCAAAGAATGAACTGAACTGTGAGGGCCTGGGACTGTCTCTGAATATAGGAGCTAAGACAAGGGGGACACAAGCCTCCTTTTTCTTTTTAAAGCTGCAGTCCCAGGGTGAAAGACTAAAAGAACGACAGAGCTGTTAAAGTGTAATAACTCCTAAACTAGGCCATGTGAGCCTGAACAAGTCACGACAACACTTACGACCCAGCCTGAGTTTGATGGAGTGGAGGAGCAGTCCCCGGTTATCATAGCAGCTGTAGATGCCCTGTGCTGAGTGGCCAACGTGCAGCAGGACTAAGGCTCCATCTGATGTTACTTTGTGCCATGGCAACGCTGAGCTGTGGTTGAGATGCCACACCACAGGTATCCTGGTTGGGAACATGTAAGACTTCAGTTATTATGCCTAAACTAGAACTTAACTCTTTAAGGACACTGTCATAGGTATCAAATACCTAAACCTGCATGTCAACAAATCCCATGAAGAGACCACAACATACACTGTGTTGCCAGTATAGCTAAAAACACTACTGTATTTTGTAGCAAATATTAACCCATTGATATGTTGGGTTTTTTTAGGTTTTGGACAACAACGGAGGACTATGCCACGGCTACACAAACCTGTTAGTAGGAGTAAGTAGTTGGTTTGTCTTTTCATGGGATTTGTTGAGAATATATTTACATTTTAGGTCTTAATTTTATTTTATGTGTTTTGTTTACTTAAAGTTGACTGACTTTTCTTTCCTTTGAGAAGATGACTTGCTGATGTTCACCGTTTCTCTTGATTAAATTTGTGTTTGGCTAAAAATATCATTAGAGGTTTCTCCTTTCTGTTATGTCAAATAATTTCGTATTTTTCTTACATCTGATTTAGCAAAATTCATTCAGTGTGACCCTTTGTATCACGATAACTTATCTTCTGTTACTGTGAAACCTCTGTCTGTGTGCAAACTGATTTCACTGCAACTTTTATGATGAATTTGTTACTTCATGATTGTTGAATGTAATAATTGTACTGTAGTATCTATATTGATATTTTAAATCACTGAAATCTGACAGTGCTGGAAATATTTTTTGTCATATTTTTGTCATTAGAATAAAAAAAAAAAAACACCATCAAGTCACACAGGCAATAGTTTTTCTTTCCTTACCTGAATTGTGACTTCCCACATGCCAGTGTCACATTTGACTCCAAGTGCCCATACTGCGTGCCTGACACTGCCAACACAGATACCACATAAAGTATTACAGCATGTTGTTGTCTGGCTTATAGTATACGGACACTGTACAACCTGGCACACTGTGTGTCTGCATTGTCTGTATTAATATGATTTAAGCGCCACCATTTACAGTACGGTCGACAGCATCACAATAACATGACCATACAAGGTTCGGGATTCAGCAGACACCAGGCTGAAGAGACTTTGGCACACAGTATAAAGCTCTTGCAGTGTGGTTTATTTCTCTGAAAGTTTATTATGATAGCCATTAAAATAAAATTACTGTGTATCAGCAGATCATCTTTGAGACCTTTGATGACAGACAAAAACACTTCAGCATTTTAAGAAGATACAAGCAGACTCTACTCTTAAAAACCATGTAGAAACATTTTTGATGTCAACATTGAAAAAATGAACCCATATAATGTAAAAAGATTATTTGTATCGCTGATCCCACTGAGAGGCAACACCCATACTTGTCAGCTGATTGTCTTAATTTGCCTGTTCATAAAATAGGTTTGGGACTGACTACAGAAGATTCAACACCATCTTGTGCTCCCAGCTCTACCTTCACAAAGACACTAACTAAACAAGTGACTGCCGTGCTAAGGATTGTGGAGCACTGAAGTAACACCAAGACAAACAGTGTAGCTTGTCCTTAGTGTATTATACTATCCATATTCATGCAGAAACAGGGCACATTTCTCAACCACATTCGGGGCAACCTTTGAAATGGGACGCCTTTTTACTTATTTCTGCCCCAAATTACTTTTAGTGGCAGGTAGCCATGTAAATAGCTTCAGTTTTATCTGCTGAGGTTTTGAGGTATCCATCTTTGAAATTTCTGTATCCACCCTTAAATGATGGAGGTGAATTGAACTTTGTTAGTGGTCCTCATACCATTACAAAATGTCGATTAAAATTTGATAAAACATCTTATGAACTGAAAATGACTCATCATACCTACAGCATGCTCACTGTTCTCAATTTTAATTGGAACTATTTTTACCCAAAAATGAATTCATGATAACAATATTATCACAAAATCTATGGAAAATTTGATTTAAATTTTTTTTTAAAAATGCTATCATTCAAATTCATCCTTAACTTTGTTTTTTGTGTGTTTTGTCTCTTTTTTGGCAAATCAATTAGACCCAAATATGAAGTTGAGTTTCCGTAACCTTAACTGTACCGAAGCAAACAAAAAAACAAAAACAACTACACTTAATGGATAGTTAAAAGGCAACCAGGTTAACTGATAAACAAAAAATTCACATAGCCTAACATCTGCCATCAGGATATCACCATATGTGTACCCTAGTCCAAACCTAGGTACATACAACCAAAGCCATCTGTATGGTGAAACTGTTTAATGTGCGAACAGACGAGATGTAGCCATGTTAGTTTTAGGGATGTGTATACATAATGTGTAACCATTCATGGCAATGTGTCTAAAAATTTAAAAAAAACCTGAGATTGGTGTCTTTTAGTAAGTAGAACAACCATTTGTATCATTAACATAAAGGACGACATAGAAGCTACAAAACTATCACTTATCATCTAACAAAATTGGAAGGTAGCGTAGATTTGAGGGAATACTAAGTGCAGTGTATACCTGAACAAATATTTGTGGTGACTGTAGCAATTTGCAAAAGTTGATACACTATCTGCTGTATGTGAGTGTATGCATGTGCATGTTTAGCTTGGCTACATAATATAAAAGCTGGCATTTAGAGTAGATCTGGAGTGGAAAAACATCACCTTGGCTGCCAGTCTGCCACGAACACACCTTCATTAATTCTCAGCTTCAATCACTCAGGCATGCATACTCCCTGCTGGCCTCTCCTCCCCTGGTAATAAACAATTTGTCCCGAGGTTGCGTTATATTCCTCTGCTTCATTTTTCGAACAGAACTCTTTATCTCCTTTACTCTGTTTCACTAATTATAGTGGTATAATGGACAGTAACAACTTCAGACATTTTGCTGGGTCTTGAAAATGTCATCGGTTATGACCCAAAAGTCTCAAAAGGCCCAGGCAGGTGGAGAAGAAGCATTCTCAGGATGTTATTATTTAATTTGCTCTATTGGCTTATTTATATTAGCTTTTCCTGCTGCAATAACCCTGCATGCCCTTCAGGGACCGACTAAGTTAATCCTAAATTAAATTTTACACAGACTCAGGTTGAAGGCTTTACTGAGGGTCTTTTCAATGCTTGGTTTTCACTGACACCTTAAGTTCACTTTTCTGGCCTTTCTGGCCTCACTGCTGTTGTTTTAGTGGCTATGCAAAATGAAACAGCTGGGAAAGAGAGCACCAAAGTACTCCACTGTGATTTTTGTGGTTACATTTACATTTCTGAGTGCAAAAGTCAAATACACAAAGAGAGGAAGACAACGAAGACAACTGGGACTTTTTTTTTCTTCATAAAAATAAAATAATGGAAGTGCGTTCATTCTGTTGTGGTGTGTACAGGAAACAAGTTGTCATTTACAACACAAAGAATGGCTAACGGCTCGCTAACTGGCGTGAGGCTGTCAACTAGGCTGGTATATGTACAACTATGCTGGTTTTTTATGAACAGGGGACAAGGCAGCGTCCTCTCATATTAACCTGGAAACAGGAAGAATTTTTGTTATTGTTTCGCCAGCTCATAAAATGAATGTCAATTAGCTACAGCTAAAAAAAAGTTATCAGCTACAGTTGTCATTATAGCTGGTGATATTAACAATCGTTGGCAAAACTCACTTTCTGTTGTTTGCTAAGTAGACGCTGTCAATTATAAAATTATCAGTTAAACAACGACCATATAACCAGGCGTCTACCATGGGTCATTTATTAATTATTAATTCATATCATAAATATCTTCCTCTGTCTCTTTTCTTATCATTTCTTATTTCTCCCTGAGTTAATCTTTCCCTCTATCGCAATCTTTTAATTCAATGCCTCTTTTGCCAATTTTAACCAGATTTTCTTTTTCCCTATAACCACCATAACACACACACACACACACACACACACACACACACACACACACACACACACACACACACACACACACACACACACACACACACACACACACACACACACAAATGCTTTTTAAGGTTTCAGTTCACACACACACTCCCCTCCCTCTGTTTCTGTGTGTTACCTGGGGCCTTGGTGGAGTGCAAAGGGCTGGCTGGTCTGAATGTGTGTATTCATGTTTTATTGGCAGTGAAGTACATTATTCCCAAAACCCGCAGCGTTCCACTCATATCTGATTCTGCCTCTGGCAAGAGGGCCCAGACATGTGCACACACATACACACACAAAAAAACCACACACATATGCATTTAAGTGCATATACCCACATACATAGACACGCACATACACACACACTAACGCACACAGGAAGGCTGCAAGTTTCTCCTGACATTGAAATCAGATGGCAGGGTGGACACAGAAATTGCAAGCTGGATGAAACTCAGTACTTTCCAAACAATGAAAAAATGAGCTCGGAGCTGCTGTCGAGTAAAATTAATGGCAAGGGAAAGTTCTGACAGTTTCACCTGAAGGGCTGAGGGTGAGTATTCTTATTGTTGGAGTGATTAAGTTGTCTAATTTTAGAAAGAAATAATAAATAGAGTGATAGAGACAACAGATAATAGAGAGTAGAAACAGATCGAAATAAAGAAGGAGGAGCAGAAAAAAAGAAAGAAAGAAAGAAAGAAAGAAAGAAAGAAAGAAAGTAAGAAAGAAAGAAAGAAAGAAGATTTCTTAATACCATACAGATCCCTGAAGTGCTGTGAGGGACAAAAGAAAAAAAGCTTTAACAATAAATTCTATTGTTAAAGCTTGCACAGTGCAAATCACAACGGGAAAAAAAAATTAAGTTGCACATCCACAATTGGACAAAGAACCATAAAAATGAACAATGTGTTTCAACAAGAGAAATGTCTCAAGGTCTGATCAAGGTTTTGCTTGGACAAATGTGTCAGTGTTTCATGGCAAACTGCACTGTATAAAGTTTTTATTCCGGATTTTGGATGTTTCTTCCATCCTTTCCTCTGCAGAAGCTTTAGATGCCATAAGTACCTTGAGTCAAGGTAAGTCAAGAACAAACAGTTCATAAAGGAATCCATGCCTTATCCTTTAATGTATACGTGCTTCTATGTGTGTGTTCACGGGTGTGTCTGTGCAATTGAAATGTATTTTTACATAGGTACATATATACAGTATTTGTGTGTGGGTTTGCGTCTGTGTGTGTGTGTGTGTGTGTGTGTGTGTGTGTGTGTTACCTTCATCAGTCCAAATCTGAGCACAACTAGGATGCAGCGACCAAGATAAAAACCAGATGACTGTCAGACACACAGGACTGGACAAAAGGCCTGGCATCTGGAAAGAGACAGAGAGAGTTGGGAGTTATTTTAAAGCCTCAATGGTGAGGCAGAAAGAATAATTGGCAGCATCAACAACAGCAGCAGCATTATCATCATCATCATCATCATCATTTTCAGTCTATTTCGCACAAGCAAAAGAAAAATGTTTCAGAGAACAGCCCAAATATTCAATTTCTTCAGTCAATTTCCGTGCTATAGCAACTACATACCAATATAAAATGCTTGGTAACAAAGGTAAACATGTCACAAATCAAGCTATGCCAGACATTTCCTCAATACTGCATATTAAGTCCAAAAAAATGCAAAGACAATGGTGGAGAAAACTGGTAGCCCTCCATCTCTCTCTAGTGGAATTGTTGCTGCGAGTCTTTCTCAAAATGAAACACACATTTCCCAATTAAATATGTTATTTTTTGTTTCCACTGGCTTTACTGTTCCCAGAAACTCTGGGAAAAGTAAAGTTTAAGTTCCACTTGTGCTGAAGAAGAGATCCACCTTCCAGTTTTGTCCCCATTCAACCAATTTCCTATCTAACCAACATGTACACACCGTGAAAAGCAGAGGCTTGCAGAGTAAATATAGTTTAAAAGTATATTTGTTAGCAGCTGCAATGGTGTTGCTGGTGTTGTTTTCACCTTGTGAGTGTGTGTGTTATCTTGGCAAAATGTGTTCCTGGAGAGTATTGAGGACTTTTATTTCTGTATGTGGACAAACTTCGTAAACGCAATAGCATCGAGTACTCATGGGTTGACGTGCGTTGCAGCTGGTGTGATTCTCTCTCTAGTTTGTAGCTGTACTATGATCTGGTGGAGGTACTATGGATAACAGGAAATGTGTTATATATGGAACAGACTTTTTATCTTTCTCATTACAGTTCAGTTTAATAAAATAAAGCTATACTGGCATAGAAAAGCTATGCTATGCTAATATGCTTACAATGACAACGCTAACATGCTGTTGGTAAAAATTATACCCACTTAACATGTCGACCATCACTGAAACGTTTTCTTAAGAAAATCATTAGATAGACTTTTTCTCTATTCTGGCGTGATATTTTCACCAGTCTTGACATCGGCAAGCAGATTTTTAAGATGTTTATTGTGCTACAGTTGATCAGCTCATTAACTTTAGCAGCTAACATTTCCTCCATTGAAAGTTTGTTTGATACGCCTGTCCAGCAAGAACATGCGTCCTTTTTTTGCAGACAAGAAGGAGACATAGGTAGAGTGTGTTGTGTTACTGAGTCTGTGGCTATTTTAGTGTCATCTCGCCATTGTCTGGCGGAGAGTCAGTGTTACTGTCAGAAAATGATAAAATAGTCATGCTACAGCTTCATGGAAGTGAAAAAGACATGATTTGACAAGGTAAATTTCTTTCCATTAAGAGTTTCTCTCTTTATAGAAAGGGAAAAATGTATGTGCTTTAGCAGTAAAAAAGAAAAAGAAAAAACATACAAATTATATTTCAGTTGGTCTTGTCCTTTAAAGAGGAGGAGGGTGTTATTATGTGTATTGCAGTACATAAAAATGAAGACATTAACTACACTCTCTTCTCACTCTTTCTGTGAAACATGTCATGGAGTTATGAGAGTGTGATGTGATCTTGCTGATATTTTTATCCTCAGGGGACATTTACAACAGACAGCTGTGTGCATAATTGACACCCTGAAACACTGTGTGTAATGTTGGTGTGCATGTGTTTCACCTTTTTTGCTTTGTCATGGGCAGAGAGAGAGAGAGAGAGAGAGAGAGAGAGAGAGAGAGAAAAACAGGTCTATGAATGCGATTAAGACTATGTAGTGTATGTGTTTGTGAGCTACTAAGCCCAGAGTCACACACATGATGCCAAACACTTAAAGTATCTTATCTCTGATGTCACCTGCTTTTATAGAGCTGAACGTGACATATCGTCAAGATACATTCAGTATATCAGCATATCAACACCTTCAACTGCAGTTCAATGGTGAGAAAGGGATATTAAAGACCCCTAAAATTGGTTTTGGTTTGCTAGTGTGATGTTTTTCCTGTTCAAATAGGACATTACTGAAGCTGGGGTCAAAACACTCTAATGCCATTAGAAAAATCAAGCGTCCCTGGCACTAATTCAATTCAATTCCCACACACCAAAGCTATTGTAGACCAACATCAAATAGCTTGATATATATGCAAATACAGTAGAAGAGAGAGGATACTTCATTATAAGAGTGAAATTGCAGAGTAGACTCAATTATATAATCACACATTGCATACACATTGTATAATGGAAGAGAATTTTAAAACATACAGTACAATCTTGACAAAAACAATATTCATATTATATATATATATATATATATATATATATATATAGAAAAAAAAAAAATATATATAATTATACATAATATATATATATATACAAGATACATATATAACATATATACATATAATAATATACATATATATGTAACTTATATATATTATATATATATACATATATAATACATATATATTAACATATATATTAATACACACACATAGAGAGAGAGAGTCTTGAAACATTGATTAAATACATTTCCATGTCGACCACCTCAAATAAAGACAAATTGAAGGATTGTTTTAAGCTGTAAAATGAGGACTTTAAAGCCTTAAGCTGTGATCACACAAACTGTCAGATGATGTCAGATTGAGGTGGTGTACACTATAACAGAACTGAAGTATAACAACAATAAAAAAAAGACACAGAAAGACATAAAAAGTGAAAAGTAAAGTGAGTGCGCCATTACTTAGGGAGATGGGAGCAAAACAAAAAGTCAGAAAAAAAGCATGAATGAGTGTGTATCTGTTATGTCACTCTAATGCTCGTGTTGACTAAATTAAAAAATATGTGTTGCTACAGCTACAATCAATCCTCCTAAGTTGAAATTGGAGCAGTTATCAGTTTTTCAGCCAACAACAATAACGCAGCCTGTCAAAGAAAACTGTTTTAAAGTGCTTTAAAAACTATAATTCTCTGAGGTGATTCATCATCCTTCTCCACCTTTTGAACTGTTCAATGCCATGTTTCTAAAGAAAGACAGTGAGAAATTTTCTAAGGGTTGACAAATAGTCTGATGCAATCAGCTCAAAGCAGTGAGCTGCTTTCATTTGATTCATCTGTTGTTTTCAAAACTGGATTTCTTTCAATGTCAAACAGAGTTTTGCTTCACAAAGAGCAAAATGGGAGACGAGTGATGCGTTGGAGGATGAGAATCGGTGACTATGGTCTGGATTCTTACAACAAACAAAATATGAGCACATTAGGTACACAGAGAAGAGAGTAGGCGAGTGTTGGATGAATTCACATTATTCCAAGTTTTTATTGTTTTTGACACACTCAAATGGGGAAGCCCACATGAAGCAAACAAAGATGTTCTCATTGATTCAGTTACATTCAGACTCTAAATACCACCAACATCTTTTAAGTTTGTCTTGTTGGAGCTTTTGTGCTGTTGCATACAAAGGGGAATGGACCTTATTCAGCTTGGTTGGGTTTAGGTTTTGAAATACACTTTTAAGTTTCAAAGTTCAAACACTCGTTCTTTGAACATTTTTAGAATAACATTATGAAATCATTATGCCAGCTGTGCCAGCCACAGCAAGGGCAGGGCATCCCATCAGGCTGGGGATAATAAAAACAGAACATAGATCTTCCCTGGGATACCTTCATTTACTTATTTTAAACTCTCATTTAGTAAATCACAAGCACTGACTAGTGACTACAATGGAGCCTGTGCTTTCGTGCCGTTACTATAGTTTCTATCACTCAGCACAAGACCTGAAATGTGCAAAACTCATGACACCGGCCTGTCTATCCCCTTTGTCACGGCTCACTGGCAGGACCTTGCAAATATGTTGTGCTGGTTAAACAAAACCCAGAGTGACCACCAAGAGGCCTTCAAACAAAAAAAAAAAAAGTCTGAGGTAACTTAAGGACACATTTTAACGGATGTGTTTTTTATTGGGCACTGAACTGAAACAGTCACCAGCCTCTTGGCAAAAAATTAACACTCAGAAAGTGAAAAAAGAACTACACTTTAATGTGCCAGCTCTATTTCATGTACTGTTCTAGAAATCATCATTAATTAATCCTCTTTTTACTATATGATTCTTGTTAAGTGTAACACAGGCCATATGTGATGGTCTCTCCTGATGGGTTTTGATGGGCCAGTCCAAGTCAAAAGTCAGGGGTCGATTTTTATCCCCACTCCATCATTAATGTGGGATATCAGGAGCAGATACAGGACTGTGGCAGGGAGCATATATCTACATATATAAATATAACTATTTTATCGAACTATAAAGTCTGTCTATTAAGTCTAAGTCTGTATAATAACAAAGTAAAGGAACAATATTTTGATTTTGGGACAGTTAAAATTGTTTTTCAGGATGCTTCCGGCCCAGTTATGAAAAAAGTTAGGCTGGAGTCTTGAAAGGATTTGATGGATTAGAATTGATTATTACTCATTGCTAAAATTTCCTGTTTTTTGCTTACATGCAAAGGTTTTGGGGGAAATCATGTTTTGTCTTCAAATGTGGTCTAAGGTTTCCCTAGTCTGCAGCAAAAACAGAAAAGATTTGCTTGTTACAATTGAAGCAAGATTTGTACACAAAACATACATGTACTGACAGGAAGCTCATTCAGTGACAGCTTTACTTTCATTTACTTGTAATGCTACATCATCATCAGTGCTATATCGAGCTGCAGAGGAAAACCAAAACAAAGTTTCTTCTAAAGATTGACAGCCAGTCAACAGGATCACCAGGGTGTAAGAGACTTCACAAAGAAAGGATGCCTATGAGTAGCTTTAGTTGAGACTGCAGCTGGTCCTCATGTGTCATTGACAAAGATGGACAGCTACAAAGGGAGGATGGAAACAGGGTGTCTTGTACCACGATATGCTGGCAGAAATAGTGAGGTTACTTCTGCCAAAATAAAAGTCAGACACAAAGACAAGACATCTGTATAAACCTCTTTTTA